TGCCTCGCGTCCGAGAAGCATTATTCGTATCGATTGGTATCACGGTCGCTGTGCTATTGGTATTTGGATACGTCAAGAACTACGTCGCTATTCGCAATCATCGTGCGGGTGTCTGGGGAGCGGTGCAGACATTGGTTATTGGCATGTTGGCAGCTGGTACAAGCTATGCGATCGTGCGGGGTCTGGATTCGAATGATTCTTGAAGGATGGTGTGACTATGGCGCGACGGAGGCGTTTGGCTACGGCGTTAGGGTTCTTTTGGACACGAGCAAAGTCCTCGTGATGGATGGGTGTGATTCAGGATTTGGGTGCGACAAGGATAAAAGTGATGATATCAGAATATTCGTATTAACGACCGAAATGACAATACTCCATTCCTCCAAAGGCAGCATTTGTTTGCCTATCCCAACAACCATCTCCCGTTCCTACCTCCTCCCCCGCTCATTAGTAGTGATCCGTTCGGATGGTATCATGAACACTGACCTGGGGGAAAAAAAGTGAAGCCATCGCCCTCCCCAGAGTGATCGGAATTGAGTCATCCAGCCCAGAAGGGGACAGGACGCCGCGTATCGCACTTCAGTTTTTCCCAAAACGAGCCTCGCAAAGACGTTCCCATAGAGACAGCGTGACGAAAGCACGCGCTCTGAGTATTTCTGATATCTTTTGCAGACGTGACATTGACGCCAGGCCGTTACCGGCAGACCGACGGTTCCAGCAGACGCTAGATGTCGGTGATGGGTGAGGCTTACTCCGAATTTCCCACATGCGAAGAGTGATTGAGAGACAGCGCGAGGCGTGTCTCTCTGTTTGTAGCATGGAAACGCAGCGTTGGGGAGGGCGAATGGCTTGAGGAGGGAAAGATTTTGGAAGCGAGGAAGGCATTTTTATTGTGCGGATACAGCCGGGGTTAAGCCGGGTGGGGCTGTAGGGTAGACCAAGCTGGCTTAATGTCTAAATGAAGACAATTGTTATCCCCAAAGTTTAATGATGGATCCTTGTAGGCCCGGAAGTTTGGTAGCGAATGTGATTGAATATTGGTCTCCAGGGTGTGACTTTAACTTTGTTGTCATTGCCTCGGCGTATGACGGTGATGGTGCTCAACTCTGACTTCCCGACCGCAAAACACAGGATCATATAGCAAGGAATGAGAAAATCTCACCTAGTTATCCATCACTTTCAATGAAGAGCGATGAATATTTCGCAATGATTTAAGAGACCTCATACCAATGGTAGTTGCAACAAAACCTTTGAGAACCCTTATTAATGTATCGATGCTGAATTTGGGCAGCTTCTGAAGCCTCGACTACATGGTATAGTAGTATATTCTCAAGATATGCTCAAGTCATAAAAAGCAAGAAGGAAGTAAACTTCTCCAAAAGTCAAGAGAAGAATCAAAGAATGAAAAGCGCAGAAACGTTCAAATTCCAATGTATATTATACGGTCAAGCTCTGCGTCAGCCTGATATCGTTTTCAAAGACATGCCACTTATATGTAAGAGCAAACGTCTCTTGTTCAAGATAGCTATGACTGTAAACATCAATGAGACACTAGGTGTAGGTATATATCCGTTGGAGAGTTACAGTTCATCAGTAGCCTGTATTCCCTTATTTCATTGAGAGGATCCGGGGCAACAGCATGGAAGAGTTGAGTCATAGTTTATTATTTTTATTTATTTATTAACATAGGAATTATTTATGTATGACGTTAAAGAGAAGTCTCCGACCTAACCTCCGACCTCGCACTCTTATGATCTATATCCTTCATATGAACCAAATATGTCTCGTCATTGTCTCCATATTCCACCTCATATGTCCTATGACACTCAATCCCCACAGGATCAACCCTTCTTTGCGATCGATCCGCTTGAGAAGTAGCATTTGTTCCAAGAGGAACACTGCGATTGTGAGTGTTGCCAGGTGTCTGCTTGTTGCTCTTGCTGCCGTAATTGTAGTAGCGTTGAGAAGTACCAAGAATCTTGGGAAATAGGCGGACGAGAAGAATTCGGAGGGAAGGCATACAGGCGCAGATTATACCGACATTTCCTTCGATGGTGGACCACTTTGATACAGCGAGGTATTCCCATGTTGCGTTGGAGGTTTTGACACCGGCTTGGACTGTGGCGTGAAGACGGAGGATACTCATGATTGTGACACTTGTAAATGTTAGTGAGTGAAGAGTCTAAGATGACGGGGAGCGAACTTACAAGATACCGACACTGAACATCATGCCAACACCGATCTTCTTTCGCCAATCCAAGTTTAGTGACTTGAGTTGAGCCAACGGAATGCCAATGATCCAAAAGTCGAGGGCGATGTTGATAGCAGCATTGGACCAAGTAACCGCGTTGATATCGGCGCATTTCCCTTCATGTTGTCCATCCCACTTCAGCCAGAAGTAGTTGATAGGCCGACACTGGAAGATGGCCACGAAAATAAACACCAGTCCAAAGACAATGGTGAACGCAACAGTTCCCCAAAGTAATCTTCTAACATTCTGCGTCGGAAATATTCTTAGGTAGAAGAACAGCATAGACAGCTTAAGGAACGTTTGTAGCGAAAAGTACATGATGGCCATGCAGTAAAAGAACATTCCGAACTGCGTGATCTGATCGGGTGTAACAGTCCAGATATCGCGACCCATGCCGTTGGGAGCGAGACCGCGAGAGTTGATGACGATGGAGGGAATGGCGACGCACATTGTCAGTGCGATGAAGAGGTCGTCCAGTCCGAGGGGAAGTTTCCAGTAGAGCTTTGTGGCGAAGCGTTGGATGATGAAGATCCCTGTTATGATGGCCATGACTTCATTGAGGACTATGAATTGGGGTGAGTGGTCTCTGACTGGAGCGCCACATGCTGTAAGGGTAGCATTTTTTGTACCTAATCATGTGAGTTGATGCGAGAGAGGAACTTCAAGTTAAACATACCCAGAGCTTCTGGAATTGTACATGCGAGAGTGACACAGCCTTCGATGTCATGTTGAAGTGCGGCGTTAGTGCACATGCACTTCTGGTCTGTAAGTTCACATGTCGATCGCTCAACAGCCGACACAAAACATTTTGCCTAGGACCCCATCAGTCGCAATTCGCATGTGAAAGCCATGAAAAAACCTACAGCACATTTCGGTAATGCAGATAAAGCAGAAGCAGCTGCAGAGGAAGAAGACTCTTGTTGAGCAAAAGCCAGAGGCAGAGCCCCAAAGCAAGCGAAGATAGCCCCACGCAGCAGCCTCATCGTAAAAAGCAAAATGATGGAAAAACAGATGGATCTGGGGACTGGGTGGGAGAGGGTGGACTGATATGTAATTGCAGGGCTAGACAAGATCGTCTGCAAGGGAACTTCAGCCCAGTTTTATGTCACAGCCCGAGCTGTGGTTCAGATTCGTGCGTTAGTTCCGCGGTCAGACCCGCACAGACTGATCTGATTCAGTGTTTTGAGTCAGGATAGTCATGATTTTGTGGGAAAGACAAGTCAAGAACAGCTGAATACGATTGATCAAAGCGAGCCGAGGCGGAAGGAGAGGTCCCAAGGAACCGGATCAGGACGAACTTAATAAGTTTATTGATGACTTGCAGTGGATACGGCGTTATCATTGGGGACAAAAGATCCATTACTTGGTGTCTGATATTGACAGGTTCGTTTACGGTGGCCGCGGAATGAAAGAGGGAGGTGTCACTACATCTGTAGTGGTGGGTGAAACGTGAAACCGTCAATCGGTGGTCAGAACTCTAAATCCGGCACTTGAACCGATGATCCTTTACTCTTCACTTTACAGAACCAAAAAGCTGGTTTTCTACGACGATCTTGGGCTTTGATGGTCAAAGCAAAAAAACAATGAAGATCTCGTCTCGATATAGATTAAACATTTCAGATTCCCGAATCTTCCGAACGGGGCCCGTAGATCACCACGAGTCTCCTCTTCAAGAACCACGTTCTTTACCTTTGTGCCCCTGCGATATCCACTAGACCCTCTTGGTGATGTATATCCGAGTCAAACCGTGATATGGGTTCGCCTATTGCGCCACCGTTTGCCAAGCAGACTCACATTCTTCTTTTAGGCGAGTCATTCGCAGCCATTCTAGAAATAACTCAACGTTCATTCACCATTTTGCGAGTTAAAGGGGGCTTTTCCTCTTTCTCCTCCCCTCTTCTTCAAAGGGGCCCGTGGTGTAGTGGGGAAGACACCGAGAGACCCCTGAAGCTAAAGACGCTAGCTAAACTGGCATCGGACCTTTTTCCAAGCAAAGATTGGTGAGAAGGCTGTGGCGAGTTGGACTGACCAGATGATGTTTCGGGGTGACAGCTGAGAAGGGGAATGTATACCGTTGAGGCGCTGCGAGTATCATGCATTCATTTATTGGCGACCTCCTTGCTGAAACTCTCCTTGCATGAGAATGTCTGCAGCATTGTCTAGCCCTGTAGCTGCGGACCCCTTTGAAGATTCTGCCAAAGTGGCGAATGTGGATGGTTTTTTTTTTTGCTTTGACTTTGAACTACTTGACTCAGAAACAAATATCCATAAGCAAAATCCCCTCTTTGATCCGCAATCCCATCTCAACAGGTTTCTTCTGAAGATCACCTACACGTGGCTATGACTGGGTTCCTAGATTGCCAAGACGGTTGGATTCCGGCTGGAACAACCGGGATCAACAAGGGTTTTTTCTTCTTTCATATTTAATCTCCGGCGCTTGGAACCCTTCTCTACCTCGGGTAACCCGGCTATCAGAACCCCATATAGCTCACCCTGGCATCTTAATGCACATCCCCCATGAGGGACCTGCCAAGAAGGGTTATTCGCGCGGGAGGGCAGCATAGCATAGCAAAGTCAAAGATGAACCAGCAATCAACAAAGCTTGCTAGTGCGCGGTGAGAGCTGAAGGATCTAGAGCCTGTCCTTGTGTAGATTACTGTACCAAAAGGAAACAGGGGCTTGTAAATGCTAAATTCTCGTGAATAAATACTCATTCTGTCCCGCCTAACCACGCCACTTTGTCACTCATTCCGCTCCAACTACTCTCAAAATGAAGTCCTTCGTCTCCTTGGCGCTTCTGCCTCTAGCACTTCTCATCGATAGCTCCAGCGCCACAAGCGCTAGCTGTCGCTGCCTCCCAAGCGACAAGTGCTGGCCTTCTGATAGCGTCTGGGCCAAGTTCAACAGCACCGTCAATGGCGCTCTCATCAAGACGGTTCCCCTTGGCTCGCCATGCCACGACCCCAATTACGACGAGGCGGCTTGCGCTGCCGTCAAGGATTCGTGGAAGTGGCCCATGACACAGTAGGTTCCAAACTTTCTAGCGAGAACGCCACAAATTAACCAGAAACAGCATCGAGACTTCATCTTCGGTGATGCAGAATTGGTTCGCCAATCAGAGCTGCGATGCTTTCACTGCGGAGGATAAACCCTGCACTCTTGGAAACTACGTTAGCTACGCCGTCAAGGTCTCGGATGCTCGCCAAGTAGCTGCCGCCGTTCAGTTCGCAAACTACTACAACATCCGGCTAGTCGTCCGAAACACAGCTCACGAGTAAGTTTAACCCTAGATTTAAGTTTGATAACCTTATTAACTTTATCGCCTTTAGCTACTTTGGTCGATCTACTGGTGCTGGCGGCCTTGCTGTCTGGACTCATCATCTCAAGAACACTGAAGTCGTTCAATGGGCTGACAAGCTTTACAACGGCCCCGCTTTCAAGCTTGGTGCTGGTATTCAGGGCTTTGATAGTGTTGAGTATGCCGACTCTCAGGGACTTACTAGTGTTCCTGGTGAGTGTCCCACTGTAGGCCTTGCTGGCTTTACTCTGGGTGGTGGCCACTCTCCTCTCAGCTCTAGCTACGGCCTTGGTGCTGATAACACCCTCGAGTTTGAGGTTGTCACTGCTGCTGGTCGTATTGTCCGTGCCTCTGCCACCGAGAACAGTGACCTTTACTGGGCTCTCAGCGGTGGTGGTGGTGCCAGCTTTGGTATCGTGACTTCTATGACTGTTCGAGCTCACAAGACCACTACCATTGGTGGTGCTACTCTTACGCTCGTTGCTGGCACTGATAAGGACGTCTTCTACGACGCTGTCACAAAGTTCCACGAGCTTCTGCCCGCCATGATTGATCACGACGCTACAGTCACCTACATCCTCACCAGCGCTTATCTCTCCATCAAGCCTGTCACTATCGCCAACTCAACCGGCGACTATGTCCGTGATGAGGTTCTCGCTCCTTTCACCGACTACCTTTCCAAGGCCGGCCTCAAGCCCACTGTCTCCTACACCACCCTGAGCTTCCGCGACCACTACGAGCTCTACAATGGCCCTCTGCCCGGTGGCCATCTCGAGGCTTCTCAGTTCCAGTTTGGCGGCCGTCTCATTCCCCGATCCGTTCTTGAGAACGACAACGTCGCTTTCAACAAGGCCCTCCGCAGCCTTGGTACCGCTGGAGTTCTCGTCGCTGGTAGCAGTGGCAAGTTCGAGAGCTACCCTGGCGTCTCCAACGGTGTCCCTCCCTATTGGCGAAAAGCCGCTATATCCCTGCAGATGGGAACTCTTTGGGACTCTACTCGCTGGGCTGACATGATCGCTGATCAGAAGAAGATCACCGAGGTCTACATGCCCCAGCTTAAGGCTGTTACTCCCGGAAGTGGCACTTACATGAACGAGGCTGACTTCAACGAGCCTGATTGGAAAAACGTCTTCTACGGTCCTAATTGGGATCGTCTGAATGCTATCAAGAAGAAGTGGGATCCTAAGTCTTTGTTCTATAACTTCAAGGGTGTTGGAAGTGAGGCTTGGACTGTGGCCAAGGATGGTCGCATGTGCAGAGCATAAGGCTTGTAATGGCTTCTACTAGAACATATTTCAATTGTATCATACTATTTAGCATTCATAACTTGCATAGCATGGGGCAGTAGCATTCAACGGGGTATATAATATTACAAACTCTTGAAGACATCTTTCTAAGTTCTGTGTGGTGATTATAAGCTCTCAGCCACAGGTCTCAACTGCAAATAACACATCTAGCTCACTATTTAGACATTATACCATAATGCCTAACCAATTGCTACAGCATAAATGCTGATAAGAGGAAAACTTAGATTATGACTCTTTTGCCTGACTTCAGGGGGTATAAGAAGCTCCGTGGCGGTATTGAGTTTATGAGTCAACCATAAGGTTAGCAAATACACTTCTGGTTTAACACAATGGGAAGACATCTTTCGATACTGTTCTATTCTTATTGCGACATACTTCTGAGTGTCATTTTATGATGACATTGGGAGATAGTTAACAAATGATGACAACAGAATGGTTTGCCTAGGACACCAAAGTGGAACGTTACAGTGCAAGTTGTATTCATACATGGCACAGTCACCACATTATCATATAACCAGGCCAAGTGAGATGTAAGTTAGATGAATGAAAGAACGATCTATTGAAGTCCGAATATATATATCTCGAAAAGAATGAAGGAGATGTAAAAGGCAAAATGCAATCCCAGCCCGAGTCCTAATCTATCCGTGTCTCACCGCCACCCCTTCGCCAATATGAAGCCCATAACCATAAGAAAGCCCATTGTCAATGTCTGACACCTCATAGTCCAACTAGCTTAGAAGCCACCGTTGGGGTTGGGGTTAGGAATGACCTGTCCACCCTGCTGAACAGGAGGAATGACTGACTTCACAGTCTCAGCAGCGAGCTCCTTATGTCTTCGGAGGCTGAAGTCCTGGTTATCAAAGTTCTGGTTGATGACACCAACCATACCATTCTGGCAATGGTTTCCCATCTGCTGAGCACAGTAGTACCAGATAGGCTTGGAATCCTCGACTACAATCTGGAAGACATCAGGAGCCTGGCCCTCCTGGGTAGGGAAGTTGAAACCAGCGAAGAAGCCACTGCCGTCGGCGAGAGGCTCGCAGGGCTCACCGAAGCTGGACTGGGCGACGGTATGGTTCTTGGGGAGGAAGTGCCACTCGATAATGTCGCCGACTTCAGCGACGACGTTGTCGGGGTCGAAGCGAAGACCACCGAGGCCAGCGTTGACGGAGTGGGTTACACCAGTGAGAGTGACGGTCTTGTCGGGTGTTGAGCGGACGGTCTTTGAGGCGGGTGCCGCGGAGACGGTGGCCGCGAGGAGGAGAGTAGCGGAGACGATTTTGGAGAACATGTTGATGGTTTATGAGTTATAAAGTTGAAAGTGAAGTGAAAGTTGAAGGTGTTGAGTAGTGTAAAAGTGTAAGTTGTTTGATTGTTTGTGTTGTTGTGATGATGATGATGGTATTGCCAATAGACTGGATACCTCATCCATTATATAGACAATTGACTCTATCCAAAATCTATTTCAAATTCATCAAAGTCATCATCATCATAGTGTAACTCATCTCTCTGTGCCACCGCCTCAGCTGGGAATAGCAACCAGCTGTCCAACTCAGCCATCCCCGGAAGAGCTCTCCTCCGAGACCTGCCAACCCAGGATATTCTCTATCTCCATTGGTCAAAACATGTTTCTAGCAGGGCTGAGGGGAGCTGACCGTTTCTCGGCATTTAGTGAGCTGTAAGCGTGGTTTACACTAGCCCCCAAAGACTGCGCCTCAACGTGCAAGGAAAGATGAGATTCTTATTTTTATCTGAGTAGGAGGCTTCCTATTGGTTGGAGGCCTGGAAGTGCTTTTTGACAGGCTGCTTATGTTTCAAGCCGTAGGATTCGTTTGTGCGATGCTGGTGCTTATCAAGTCGGGGAAGCTTACTTTGCATGGTGATGCCTGTATTGCCGACTTTCCGAATACCATTCTTTTTTTTTTTTTTTTTCAGTCAAGGGATTAGATTAAAATTGGAAGAGACCCTGATTGAACAGGTTCGGCTGCTTCGGATTTGACGACATCCGGCGCTATAATCGTCCAAGCTTTCTATACCGTCGGGCATAACAATCTCACTCAGCGGCGTCCCTGCCTTCATAGTGCCAAGTTCTTGGATTGCCCCCGCTGCTCAATAAGCCGAAAATATCCTGATAGAGATAGAATTTCAAGGCACACAAGTACCAAAAATCAGAACGTGGCGATCACGCTGGGACAGCATCGCATGGAATCGACATTTCGGGTCAAGTGGCACGGCCCCCATATTATTAGCACCAGGCTTAAGAACACAAACTCTTTAACCCAATGAGGAGTTCTATGGGTGATGCACGGCATATGCGTGGTGGGAGTGACCGAAGTCCTTTCTCACCTTAAGTGCAGTTTTAAGTTGGACAGGCGGGCTTGACGTGTCTGTCAGCATTGCGGCATGGATGTTATAACCCGACAGCTTGAAACTATCAGTTTAGACCAATAGCACCAAACTCATTACTCCATCTTTACTTATTTACGGTGAAGTCATGTGCATAGTGAGATAAGAATAAGTGAACTGCCAGCGTGCAACGAAAAGGTTGGAATGGCAAGTTTTGGGCCAAACATGGCCAGTAGGAATCATCTCCATCAAACCATCGCAACTGCATGAAACGAATCATATCAGTCTTTTACGACCTTGAGTTCCAGTAGCTCTGTACTCGTTCTAAGTTTAGTTTCATTTTGGCCGTCGGGACTCAGCCTCACGGACATCCAGGCATCACACTTTTAACGCATCACCCATATATAACCCCGCAGTATGTCACATTCGACTCCCAATCAGAGAACGGGTGGCTTGCTCTTGCTATCTTGAATCGCTGGTTGACTAAATACAGACCTTTCAGTAGAGTCAGACCGCTTCATATTCTTTTATGGTCATGGAAGGACCAGGTCGTCTCATTCTAAAAATACTGCCATGGAAGGACTTGGAATAGACCAAAGGATGATAATGCTATATTCATCCAAGTAGACTCGTCAAGCGATCACCTGATACCATTTTAGAGCCCCCGAATTGTTGGGGAGATATACAGGCCGCCCATGAAGGCCCCTTTGAGTCTGGAAGTACATTCTGCCCTTTGGAAGCGGAAACTGGAATGATGAATGTACTAAGAGCGGTTTGGTTAGCGTCCCTTGTCGAGGAGGTTATATATATCTTACCGGTCATTTAAGTTGAGAGCGCTGAACACCTGAACTGCATCGTTGAATGTCTTCTCAGACCAGCTGACCGAGTCACTGTCCAACGGTCATATGTCAAGTTATGGAAGATTTGGTAGTTTATCCACTTACATTTTGTTAACCGCAATGATCAGCTTCTCTCGTGGTTGAAGCTCACCACTTGACAGTAGAGCTGCCAGTTTCTTCGCCGATGCGGCCCAGATCAATGAATCTGAGCCATCAACAACCCAAATGGCAATGTCAGGCGTCTGACTATCTGCAAAGAAAGCGTCAGTAATCAGTTGAGAGTACAAAGAGCCTGGCAGCATACCCTCAACTCTAAAGAGGCCCGATGGAGCATAAAACGATTGAGGATGCCCTCTCTTCTCAAGGAATATCACAATGTCTCCATATCGAATTCCTTTCTGTTCAAGTTCCTGCAATTGTGACAGCCCAAGCCCGCACCATTAAGAGTTAGCATAGTGACTTTCAACCAGAAAGTAATAAGAAATACCATATAAATCAGGCAGCCGAGAAGAGTTTTCTTCCCAGCCCCGTCATCGCCTAGTACGCTCAGCGATCTCGAGGTCATGTTCTCGGAGGCGGCACGGCAACACGATGGGAATAAATATCGCGTGATAAAATGTAATTTGCATGAAGAATAAATCAAGGCGGGGTAATCTGAAACGCAGACTCGAGTCAGTCAGCTTCAGTTCGATTGGGCAATGCTTGCTTTTTTCATGTCGTGAACCAACAGCTCTTTGTTTGCCCAGGATCAGTCAGCAGCCAGCCACAGACGTGTTGCGTTCATGGGCCATAAACGTACAATAGGTAGTTCACCTTGGAGCAGAATTTTTGCCTCTTCGTATATTGAACTCTGGCAACTGGTTGCGATTCCTGGACTCAGGTTTAGTGTAGAAAATTTGATCTTCGTCGTATGTAGCCCAGGATCATGAACTAGCATTATCATGAACTATGATGGCGAGCGTTGAAATCCTAAAACCACTGCAGGAAGTAAGAGAAGTATTTATCACAAAAAGAGTGTTGAAGCAAACTAGATTAGCAGTGCTTGTACCCTTTCTATTATACGTATTGCGATTCTGTGAAGTTCGTTGGTGATCGAGCCATGATGAACAAACCGAAACTCACGGTCCTAACGTGGTGAAAATGCTATTAGACAGATAGTAGCCACAAGAAAGTTTATGCTTTGGCATATATCTACAGAGAAGGTATAGCGGCTTTTCTATCAAGCTTGGTCACAAGGCTATCGCCTACAAGCAAGTTCCCAGCGTTCTCAGACGCTTAACGCTTAAAGCTTTGATGGTTTAGTCACAAACAGGTTCAGTCTGAGAACAAAATGCTTATGAGCTACATGTGTCCTCTTTAGCCTCCAATTCCAGTCGCCTAGAAGCTGTTCCAGCTCCAGAAGCGTAGTTCTGTGAGCTGTGACGGCGGTCGACTTTAGGCAAATGTGCTTCACCCTCCATCACATACGACCAAAGCTCGTAGAAAATACGGGATCCCGTCCAATACTTATTTTCTGTCCAACCACTGTCGTTATCTGAGGTCAGCGTTGCCAAAGACAGGGGGCCGGTCACCCAAACTTGGAAGTAAAAAAGATGCCGAATGGGATTTAGTAGGAACTTTCTTTTATTTCAACTATCTAAAAGCTAATTATCCTTATTCAGGACTGGGATCTCAAACTAGAGAGAGGGGACTATCTCAATAGCTTAGGTCAGAATAAATTCGTTCTAGAATCCATTGATAATACCTCAAAAGCAGTTAAGCGGGTACATGGTATCTTCAGGAAGCCGAAATTTATGGCGAGAGTACTGCCAACAGACGTAATTCAGGGAAACCTGGGTAATTGTTGGCTTATAGCAGGGTTTACTGCCCCTGCAAATATTAAAGGGACACTTCAAAAGTTATGTGTAGCTCATAATCAAGGTATTATCTCCCTGGCTTCTAATTATGAAGACATATATTGATACAGAACTTAGAGATAGGGGTCTATGGATTTATGATATATCGCGACGGCGAATGGATCTATTCTATTGTCGATGACAAGCTATATCTAAAATCGCCTTGCTGGAACTCTCCGAGCTTAGAGCGAGACTTTCTCGAAAAGATCCATGATGATAACAGCGAGTCTGTATATCAACACACTTTCCAAACAGGATCTAAAGCACTTTTCTTTGCCCACGGATGATGTCTCCAATCTTGTAAGGGCACCTAATGACAGTACTTCTCGCCGTCAAGGCCATCGATATAAAACTTGAGCCTCCGTATTCTCGGTGAGAACTTGTAAATGAGTGACCTTGACAAACAGCTCGTGCTCTTCGCATCATAATAGATCAGCATCCGAACACAGCAAGGTCTTTATTTCGTAAGCTTCGAAAGCTCTGGTATATAAGAAGATTTCTCTTTTTCTAAGATGCGTCAGAAAATTTAGTAGTGAGGCACCAAAGCCTAAATGTGCAATAATGAGGAGTTGAGTTCAATATAAAGACAAGTTTGCGAGTAGCCGGCTAGATACCATCACCAGGTGTTCATGGCTATAATATCCGCCGTCATAACGTATAAATATATCAGGATCGTGTCTCCATTATGATTAGCTACTAAGGCCTTTTCATGATAAGGGTAGTTACTGATGTGTTTCCATAGTAAGTCTGCTGGACCAAACCTTCTTCCCTGATTCAAGAACAACAGTGTTCATATTGCTGCGCTGTATGTCATTGACATCCCAGTCAAGTCCCTTGCCAAAAGAGACCGTATGTCGACGGATTTTCATTCGTCGCAGGCGAGGAAGATGGTGTTTGCATTCGTATAGGGTCCACCGCTCTACAAACACAGCAATCACAAAGAAGATACCAATGAACTTGTTAGCTCACACCGCTACTCTCAGCAGCGCCTTATACCGATATCCCTTCCAGTTATATAGTCAAACAGTTCAGGCAAGCTAACAGAGTTAATACCAATGAGATGTTGTAGGTGCTTAAGGAATTGCCAACCTCATTTGCATTCTTCCCTCTAAGAATAAGCCTCCTATCACCTGCCGTGGGGGCTTGGAGAGGGAAGACTATTATCTCTGGATGTTGGCAGATTGGGTAATCTTTGATCTTAAGTCGGTCTTGTTGATCCTTAAACCCATGAGCTCCAATATATGCGCTGCAAATGCGATGCCTGCACTTTAGTGTATAGCTTGAAGGCCGAAGAATACTGAAATTAAAAAATCCGGGAGAGCTGGGGAGTCTTAGGGCCTGTCGATGTCAAATAAGTACTTCGGCGTGAGATTGCATTGAATCCAAACCAAGAGCCTCATTGCACTTGACAATAAGAACAAAATGGCTCCTTATTAGTTCTGTCAGGCCATAGCATCGAAGCCTGGCCTTAGACCAAAGGATTGCATCTTTATATAGTTCGTCATAAACAGCACCAGGAGGAAAGTCTTCTGCTGGTCAAAGATATACACGGCCCTATAGGCTCTAAAAACTTACTATATATACCTAATGGGAAAGCATTCATTACCAGAGCTAATAATAAAATAATAGACGTAACATTAATATCGTCACAATGTTATAAAAACCAAACAATACCATCCCATAAGTATTGAGGAAGGTTATATTTAAGCCTAGATGCCAAAGTAACGCTAAATATCTTCCATAGCTCAACAGAAAACTATTAAATTGCGGCTTACAAGAAGCTTCAAAGACGACATGCCGAGAATTCCATGCCGAGAGTTTCATGCCGTTGAGCCTCCGGCTACATTGAGAGCTATTGACTTGCTGCTACATTTAACATTCTCCGTCCTACGACATACAATATAGGTATCGAGACGAAGGTGATGAGAAAGACAGCCCAGATGTCTGGGGGAGATGGTGAGTTAAATAAACATCCCAGTGTGCCATGGCCGTTACATAACTATACTTGAGTAGCCACTGGATGATTTGTACGCCACACCGTAATACAAACGATAATTAATTCACTGTCAGCCTTCCATCCATCGTGGAAAAAAACAGCCACCCCAACTAGTGTTGTCAGCAGAAGCGCCGTACGAGGTTTCCCCATAATCCGGACCTTTTGAATATGCATCCAGATTGAAATAATGCCATTTAACCAACGATGTTCTAATCTGTAAAACCTGTTTGACTACATGGTGTCTGTCTCGCTTAGTCCAAGCTTACGAAGCACTTTCCTGGCTGTCTCTTGTCAAATCAATGTAATCGCTCTCATCTTGCCCTGCAACCTGAGATTGCCTCTTCTCGCCGGAACCTTCCAGGGGACTACAAGGCTGTGGAGGATTCGGCTGGCCAAATTGCCTTCCGGGAGACCACCCCCGCCTTTCAGGTGGTGATCGACCAGTGAAGACCGGTGACCCAGAAGGTGTAATTCCCTTAGATATCTCTCGAGACACATTTCCAGCTAGCGAGCCTGAAACCTCAGACAGAAGCCTGGAGAACAGCATTGAGGGACTCGGCTTTGGAGTGACCTGGCCCCCAGAGATAGATGGAGTTTCCCCTCCATCTACGTCAGGCCTATTGAATAGGCGATCTGCGTTCGATGCTAATGGCTGGACTCCCGGGCCTTTTGAAACACCCCGCGCTACACTATGGAAAGAAAACTCATAGTCTGAAGGAAAGGCATCTGGAGCATTTGAATGAGAAGGCGCAAGAGCTAGAAAGGATTTCGCTTGAGCAGGAGCTGAAGAATCTTGTGACGGCCTGTAGTCGGAGTCGTTCGGATCATCGTTGTCAGGTAGCAAGTATTGACTGGTTTGACGCAACCCGAAAATCGATTCCTGGCTGTCAGAATAGCAATCAGAGTGTGCTTGAGATGGGTAATTCTCTCCTCCTCGGGAACTATACTGCTTTCCAGCTACCAATCCCTTCATGGACAGCCCCTCTAATTTCTGAGAAACAACCCGATCAACTTCACTAGTTATAAACTCCCTCTCCGACGAGCAGATTTGATGCATCAGTAAGCCTAAAAGTAAAGGAGTCACCTTCTTATTGGCCATGTCATCAAGCTCCATGGTGGCTTGGTCATCTAACAGGCCTTGGACTATCGGGAGAATGGCTCGTCGCTGCTCAACTGTCTTTTCGCGACGTTTCTTTGACAGGAAGAACGGGTTATGACCAGAAGTTTGGCTGGCATTTGATTCATCGAATACATGCTGCCACTGTTCAATGTACGAAGATATCAAAGGTTTAAAAACTCGTGTGGCCCAGGTATGCGCGTTGTCAACGATCATTTGGAACATAACAACGTCGGCAAGCTTGGTCATGTCACCGTTCCAAATGACGCGCATAATCTCAATTAAAGTCAGCTGGAGAACATGGAAAATTCAAACGGATAGATAGACTTACACATCCCTCTTTGCGTCTCTTCACTGTTACCTCTGTGGTGTTTCGGTGGCTGCACGGGGCGTCGAAATCTGTGGCATAATACATGATCCATACTGTGACGCTAGGTCCGATGGTAGTGATGACGGGTATGGGGGGGATTTGCGCATGTTTGGGCAGCTTTACAGCATACTGAGCTGTGTGCCTAATCAAACTAATCGCGCACGCTGCAGCATTAGCGGCCTGGCAACACACAACTCGCACAGGCCTATCATCTTGCTGCTCTTTCTTGTGTTCGACTACAAGCCAGGGGTAGCATTTGAGATTGGCTTCCAGTGGTGGTTTTTCAAAAAGGCGAGAAGGTGCTGGTTGGAGGCCAAATTCGTGTAATTTCTCAAGCGTTGACCACGTAAACGGTTCCATGGCTGATATCTCTTGAGCCTTATTCCACTGTCTAGCATTGGGGTCTACTACAGTTGGAATCCCGGTCGGATGACGGTTGTGATAAATGGGAAGGAAGAAAGCTTGGTCCGGTTTAGGGCAACTGAGGCTCTTAAATGACCCTATTCCGGCCTCCTTATCTTTTTTGAACAGGTCCCAGAGCCCGTTGGTCTCTCTTGACAACTTTGTTAGCGTTCTGGTGAATAAAATAGAGGCATAAGTCTGCATACCTCGTAACTGCGTCGTAATAATATTTGTTGTGCGACACGCTTGAGTTTACCATTAGCTCTAATGCCCAAATGGATTTTACAACAATTTTACCGTCTAGTATCATCTTTGGATGATGAAAGAGAACCAGTAAGTCTGTCGAAAAAGTCTGTTTCGTAGAAAGTCTGCCACCTCTGCTCTTTGTAGCCACCGTTGACGAGACTGTGCGCCTTGCTTAGAGTCTTCTGCGCCGCAACTAGGGCAGGATCTGGATCCGGGCCATATAGTAAAGGCTTCAACCTATCATCGGAAATAAGCTCATTGACCAAGCCTTCCCCGTTGACTACACAAGAAAGGTCCGTGATTAATCTCCGTACGCGCTCTACGTGCGGAGGGAACACGCTGACCGGGATCAGGGGTCTCTTTTCATCGTAGAAAATGTTCTTTTGGCCAAGTTCATATCGATCCCAAGTCATATTGCGCTAGAGGCGGAGAGGGTATACTGGTATGAGGGAATATTGACAGTGGAAAGAGTTATGTGACAAATCACAGGGCTATATATATAGTAGCTAGTCAGCCTTGACCTCTCAGACCCCCTTCTTGGCGCGTACAGCGAAGGATTCGGCGCTAATTCCGTTGCAGAAGTTTTCTCTTAGCCTCCCAGGGATTGGACATCTTTTGTTGTCTCTTTTATTTGCTCGCTTTGACCATCTGTTGGTTGACCCATGCAACTTATGAACCAACTGCATAACATGATGTCTCAGCTGGCGGCTAGTAAGGTTGATAGGATGTAAATTGTGGAGGTCTTTCCATATGTGGAAGGTCCTCCGGATATGGGCCACTTAGCCACGTTGTATTGCGCAACTTATGCATACGACGAAGCAACCTGCTGCCCCATGAAGTGGCCGACGCGCAGTTGGTAACCATTTTCTTTCTATTCATAAGCAATGCTTTCGTTAACATTATCTATCTAAGGACTTAGGTCTCTGACCAAGCTAGATGTGTGGGGCCCAGTTTTGGTACGCCGTCCGCCGATTAAAAATATTACATTCGAGGATCCTGAATCTCAAGAACGTTTCCGGAATAATCGCAGGGAGAAGCCACTTTCAATAAACCTGACGGTGTTTTTCAATAGTGATACTACTTTCATACACAAAGGGTCAAAGTCGACTGTTCTTTAAAGATCTTGATGCCGTAGTTATTGCTTGCTTGAGCACCAGAAATCAGTATACCCACTTACAGAGCTATCAAATTTAAACCGCGTCAAGGCTATATTCAACTCCGAAGATAAGTAGTACTCTTAGAGGCCCAGAGCAACCGTACCCCAAACAACCCGCAAATCACCAGCAATTCGTGGCTTGACTGGAAGCATATTAAGTGCTCGCCAGGAATGTTGATGAAATACATGCATGCATTCAAATCATGCTCACACTGAAATCAGCTCTTTATGCTACTGTCCGCGTGATTCCGATACTATACGGTCACAACTGATCTCAAGTATGAAGCCCCGCACTTCCATGTGACTTAATGAGCACTTTTACTACCCATTACGAACCAGCAATATACAAAATCTCTAGCACTTAACTTTGCCATGGCATCCCGTCTAACTCCAGCTCCAGAAAGTACGACTAATTTGGATGCGCTCGATGATGAGCATCGGAAGGTGCTCAATAGAGCTGTGAGGAATGTCTTGAACACACAGAGGTAGCTGAGCTCGCATACGCCCAGATCCTTGATGGACTTCCCAATAAAAAGTCTCTGCGAGACAGTTTTGGCTATTTCACAGACCACCCTGTTCATAGCATTCAACACACCGAGATCTGTCCTGGATATGTAGAGAAAGCACGCAAATTCAGAAGTTAGTTCGACTTATCGCAACTACAGTTAAGCTTCAAGGTGCATCTTCAATTGGGAGAGTGCATTACATGAAACTCATGCCTGTTTAGACAATTAAAGCCTTTCAAGATACGCTACCAGGCTCAGAACACTTCAACCGTCGCCTGATCGAGCTCGTTGCCGTAGCCTGCCACCAGATCGGCGCATATCTCTTTAGCCTCGATGATGGTGCTCATAAGCATAAACTTTATGACGACTGGCGACAAAAAGTACTAGAAGAAAAGGAAAGTGGCATTGAGTCAAGGCGGTACTATGATCCTCCGCCTATTGCCTTTTCTCATCGAGCCTATCAATATCCCGAGCAGTATCCAAGGGGCCTTGACGATGTGGCTGGCTATTGGGCCGAGTCTAAGATCCTTGGCGGTGTCATTGTCTTTGATCGTGGCGAGACAGAACAAGAGGCAAGACATATGCTGTCTTTGCATTATTTGTGATAGAGACCGCGAGCTGACATTTACTTCACGTGAAACAGTGTAGGGCAATGTGGATCCATGGCGACTTAATTAGAGGGCCCAGAACTCTCTATCCACCGACCAAGGAACAATTCGACGCCTTGATCAAGTTCCTCACTACCCCATTAGAGGAAAACTTAACATTCCCATTTCCTATCCATGGAGCAAGCATCAACAGACCACGATGGCATCCATATCACGCATTTGCATACTATCACATCTTCCGTGATAGGTATGAGAGGAGGCTTCCGCCAAATCCATCACAACCAGGCTGCGTCGAGGACGGGATGGACTGGCCAGAACTTGATGATCGGCGGATTCTTCTCTTGGGAGGATTTTCCAGCCCCCAAGGCGAGCCATACGTTAACGACGATGAGTATGCTGCGGCTAAAGAGAGGATTAAAATTATCACACCCTCATCACCGCTTTAGCGGCTATCTTAGACCTAGAGAGGAGCTTAGAGCGACATTTATTCATGCTCAGGAGGGTAACGTGGGATACAAGTCAAGGTCTCGAAATAATGTGGGAGATTTAGAGCAATATGAAGGGAAAATGAGTGACTAAGTCTCTGGTATATACTTGCTTGATATGAAGAATTCACACGAAATTTAAACCCAAACATTCAGAGTTAAAGCCATGCATCCCCTCGCGTAGCTTCTAACAGCTACATCCACACACACCGGGCAGAGCACGGTTCTTTCCACAGCCATATTGAAGTCCATTTGTTCCACAGTCCTCCCACTTCTTGCACTTGGCCCATGGCCCGACACCTCTGGCCACCCTGCTACTTCCCATCGCTTCAAAGAAATTCCCCAAACCTTGCTTCTTTGTTCACAGTCATCACAGGATTTTACTTGCTTCATTTTCCATCCAAGATGTTTGTTTCGAAGACCACCATTGTTGGCCTACTGCTGCCCTCAGCATCCGCTGTTTCACGTAAGTGCATACCATGATTCAACTTCTTTCCACTGAGGCATTAACTCATGGAATAGTCACATACAGCAAGCTTTATGACAACAACTCGATCCCTGTTAGCCAACTGGCATGCTACAAGAACGGTCTTATCATGGGAGGGTACCGTCATGGAAAACCATCGGGGACATCCCGCATTCGATCACCGGTCTTGAACAAGTCGATGGACCAGATTCTCCGCTTTGCGGTTCCTGCTGGATACTTTCATATGGGGAAACTTCCAGACCCGTGCTTATCCTAGATAGCGCAAAGGAGGGGTTCGTATCGACTCTTGATACCTTGGACTGGCTCACGGGTGACAAGGGTGAAGCGTTTGGAAAAGTCGAGGTGAAGGCTACTATGGTCGATCGCATGAATTCTGGCTTTCCCATTGAGGAGATAGAGAAGGAACTCTGATGGCCCTTGATGGATCCTCGACGTTTGACTCACAAATGTTTCTTATGAAGGAAGCTTTTGTTCTTTGTTTCTAATCATTATCTTGAATCTTACCTGTTAACGTCACTTGGAGTGCCACCCACCCTAAATCTCCTATATTGAGTGGTAAGGCGAAGCGAATAGTGCTTGAATAGCGATATGGTTTGTGGGCGGTGAATACGTGCAAAGGATAGTCCTCGGTAGTTAGAGTAATAGAAGCAAGGCTAGTTGTCAGTCAGAGCATAAAATGAGGCTGAACTACACCCTAGGCTCCTCCGAGAGCTCCGAGTCTAGGGCTCTCGTTTCGGTCCGGCAGCTATATGAAAGGACCGGAAAAATACAGAAACAGTTCGATCGTCTCAATTAAACAGGACGGCCTACGTTGTAAGTGGTGGATGATTTCTGAAACAGAAACCTTGCAAACAGCCGTACTTTGCCTATTTAGGCAAATTCGGATAGTCTCTGCCGAAGTATCTAGGATTGATCAGGAGATCGGAGAAAGTATATAAGATGACGAAATGTCCTTGTTGATTTTACTAACAGTCCTGTTCGTTATTGATTACCTTCCTGTCTGTTCAGATATCACGCCACGGTCAAGATGAAGGTGGCCGTATTGTCCCTTTTCGTAACCGCCGTATCGGCCGCCTCACTACCTGTAAGCCTCACCACCACCAACAGCAGACACCACTAATATTTGGGTGCAGAGCTATCGATTTGTGGGGAGAGTCAACCCGGCGACCAAGCAGCTCACATGGCCGAGCACTGGAGTGGCTTTTACTTTTAAGGGAACTACCGCTAGTATTAAGATCGACGGTATCACCGGAACATCAAGCGCAGATTTGATCATCGACGGTGGCAATCCAATTCTCATTAAAAACGTAGAGGGAACATCCATCTCAACCCCAAAACTCACAAAGGGTACCCATACCGTTGAACTTCGGAAACGGTCAGAAGCCTCTTTTGGTGTTTTCCGGGTTACTGGTGTTAACACGGATGGCCAACTGCTCGAGAATGTAGCACCTAAGCGAAAGATTGAGATCATTGGCGACTCCATTACCGTCGGGTACGGCCTTGACGGCGTCCTGCCTTGTGTCGACTCAGCTGTTCTGCAGAACAACGGCAAGACATATGGTGCCGTCGCAGCGAGAGCTCTGAAGGCGGATTATAGTGTCGTCGCTTGGAGTGGCAAGGGTCTTATCCGCAACTATGCCCAGAACCCTCCCGACACTTCACCAACGATGCCAGTTCTCTACACGCGCTACGGAGCCAACGATGCTGACAACAGTTTCACATTCCCCAGTTCGTGGGTCCCTGATGCTGTGGTGATCAACTTGGGCACAAATGATTTCAGCTACCTGAACGTGCGCCAGCCAGTCAACCCTGCAGATCTTACCAAAGCCCTTGTCAAGTTGGTTAAGAGCGTACAGCCACACTACCCAAAGGCTCAGTTCTTCTTTGTGTCTTCCCCGCTACTCAGTGATAGCTATCCTACCCAGGCCGATGCGCAGAAGTCTACACATGTCAAGGTGCTTAAGGATGCCATGCAGCAGCTGACTGGTGTCAAGACTCATCTGGTTGATTGGCCAACTCAGGGTTCTGATGCAGGTTGTGACTATCACCCAAATGCTGCCACGCAAGCAAAGGGCGGCGCGCTTCTTGAGGCCTCTATTAAGTCAGCTCTGGGATGGTGAGGGATGAAGAGGCAGCACTAAGAAAATATCTTGAAGATGGATTTGGATAAAGTAGGCTTCCTTAAGATCTGGGTGAGGTCAAATAAGACGAAAGTGTTGTATTCTTGACTGATAGTATAAGCAATCGGGACAGCTTGTTGTTGAATACCTACTGACTTTCAAGAGAGATCTACCCGTGTATCGCCTTCACTTCTTGTAAAGCTCTTCTCCAGCTTGTTAATTCGAGGTTATACTTCCAAAGGACTTACTAAGGCTGATCGAACTACGTTTGCTTTAGGTAGTAAGCCAGCATTCGTCATTGCACTCATCTGCCGACTGACCATGTCGCTTAGACGAACGATATCTTGCTCATAAGAGATTTGAGACGTCAAAAGGGTTTGTACATCGCTGTCGGCGCTTTTCTGCTTGGTCGCTTTAAGATGGGGTACCATTATATCACGCTGATCAGAGGGGTCAGATATTTGGCTTTGAAGGATTTCGAAGCGTGTTATGTAAAGCTCCTCTACTTCGACTCAGCGGTAGTCGTCGCTCTGGGCATATACGGTTACCTATCATATGACCTAAGTGTAGAGTGTATATTGGAAGGTCATCACTGCGGTGGAGATCACTTGGTTGCATCTGTGGTTTGATGTAGTTGCTGGAAGAGTCTGCAGACCGGCAGTGAAAAGAGCCCCTTTCGCGGCTCGCCACTGACCCAAGTACTGGATACCTAGAGATCGTGAGCATATCGATGTGATACAAAGTCTTTTGAAAGTTGAACCGGCTGAGGCTAGACCAGAAGAGCAGTGGGATGAGGTGACACATCCGGATCCTTTTTCGAGAACAAAATGACCATCCTTTCTTCCTCTGGAGATAATAGACTTCTTGAATTTAGTCAACTTGTATGCGAGAATATAAGAGTCCAGTAAGGTACAAGACACCTAAGACAATATTGGCCCTATGGGCCTTTCTACGACAGCTAAGTTCTGTGTGGTGATTATCAGCTCTCAGCCACAGGTCTCGACTGCGAATAACACATCTAGCTCACTATTTAGTTCTACGACAGCAATGCTGGACTATACATCATTCTCGGAAATCTATTGTTCCTCCTGGGGCCAGTCCAAGCCTACAGAACATAAAACCCATAAAAACATATCCGAGTTAACCTCTGAGTCACTCTATCCCACCCAACCTTGAGGAGAACTCGGTTTGATCGAGTCGAGTTAGTAAGCTGGTGGAGATTGACATGATAACGCTCCATTTTCCAGATCTAGTGTCTCTTATAGACCCAGCAACGACCTTACCACAGCTTATCAGCTTACAATCACAAAGAGTCATCTCCATTCTTATCTCCACTTAGAGTGGACCGCCGTTACATCGTCAAAACATTGACGTCGGTACCAAGGACCGGGTTCCTCATGCTAAAAGCCTGTCGATTCGTCAGGTCAACAAAAACGTTACATCAACTCAATTCTGCGCCTTGAATCGGTATCAGTCCACAATATTCGCCAAGATAACCAGAGACTAAAGAATATGGACCTTGTCTGTGGAGAATGCCGAGTGTCATCTATGGAGCCAAGGCAATGGATCAAGGCAGGTATTGGTCTTCGAGACTGTTCCGGTTCCTTGCAACCCTGTATAGGATGACATGTCAGACACTGATGCCGGTGGTTCGTCGATCTTTGATGGTTTAAGTATCTGGGACCTCGCAGACCCCTGGAGGAGCAAGATATACCTTTCGAACTTCACGATAAACTTCAATATGGGCGATATTATTGACGCGGGAGCTTCTTCCAAGCTCTTCACTCCACTTGACATTGGCAATGGCAAGATTCATCTCAAGCACCGCATTATTCATGCGCCTCTTACTAGAAACCGAGGAACTCCGGTCAACCCCGACTCTACGCCTGAGAACCCCAATCGACTCTGGGTTCCCAATGATTTGATGGCTGAGTACTATTCTCAACGGGCAACTGACGGTGGCCTTATCATCTCTGAAGGTCTCCCTCCTTCACTTGAGGGCAACGGTATGCCAGGTGTGCCAGGTATCTTCCTCCCTGAGCAAGTCGAAGGTTGGAAAAAGGTCGTTGATGCTGTTCATGCCAAGGGAGGCTATTTCTACGCTCAGCTCTGGCACTCTGGCCGCGCCAACATTCCCCAGTTAACCGGAACACCCATTCTGGCTCCCTCTGCCACACCATGGGATGATCCCAACGAGACCTTCGCATATCCCCCACCTCACAGCACCACGCCCGTCAAAATCGCAGACTATCCACCCATCGAGATGACCGTGGAAAAGATCAAGAGTACTATCACTGACTACGTCAATGCCGCAAAGAATGCCATCGAAGCTGGTTTCGACGGCATCGAAGTCCACGGCGGAAACGGATACCTTGTCGAACAGTTCCTCTCCTCAAACGTCAACAAACGAACAGACCACTACGGCGGCTCTGAGGAGAAGAGATGTAACTTTGCACTTGAACTCATGGAGGAAGTAGCTAAGGCGATTGGTCAAGAGAACCTGGCTATTCGTCTCTCGCCTTTTGGCCTGTTTAACCAGTCTCGTGGTGAAAAGCGCGTTGAAACGTGGAGTCACCTCTGCCGTGAGCTGAAATCTCGCTTACCGAAGCTCTCATACGTTAGTTTCGTCGAGCCACGGTATGAGCAGATCTTTTCGGAGGCAGAGAAGCAGAAATTCCTGGGATCCTGGGGTCTGCCCACTGTTGACCTATCACTGTTCCGTTCGATCTTTGGAGATACGCCATTCTTTTCAGCTGGCGGGTTCAATGATGTTAACTCGTGGGGCGTTGTCGAGAGTGGAAAGTATGATGGTCTGTTGTATGGAAGGTATTTTATCAGTAACCCTGATTTGGTGGAGAGATTGAGAAACGGCTGGCCGTTGCAGGCGTATGATAGGAAGACGTTTTATGGGCCTTTTGAGGATAACGCTGTTGGATATACGGATTATCCCTTCTACAAAAAGGAGTAGATGTTGAGTTACATATGTATGTTGGTTATGCTTCGTAGGAATACAAGTCCGGATGTATATCTGTAGAATATGAATGAAATATGATGATTGTACATGAGATTTATCCACTTGATTAACATATCTATCGCCCCGAGACAATAGAGCTTCCAACACCAGAGTCCGTTGGTGCCAGAGGCCTCTTATCATCATCCTGCCACTCAGTACTCTCACTTCCGTGCCCACTACTCTTTGGACTCTGGCGATGCAAAGGTAAAGACAAGTTCTTTTTCCCTCCCATTTTATAGCGCTTCACAAACCTCGACAGGCGTGACCCTGAGGAAACATGCGATGCCACTTCGCTTGTGTCAAATTCGGCGTGAGAAGTCTGCTGTGGTTGAAGTGTGCTTGTTTTTGTCTTGCTTTGGGCTTCTGTGGTTGCCTCTGGTGTCTTTTGGGGTTCTTCGTCAATCGGCAAGTTGAGGATGTCAACCTCAACTTCATCTTCGGCCTTAGCACGTCTATCCAGTACAAAAGTCGTTCGAGCCTCAGAGTCTGTCATCCCAACAAGTGAGGGTGCTTCATATCCATGTTTCTGTCGAAATGTAGATATAGAGTTATAAAAGGTTGGCGTGAAATTGCGTCTCTGCCGCATGCTTCTCAACTGAAGTGTGGTAGTAGCGAGTTCTTTAATCATGGACTGGATGGAATTAGCAATACAGCACCACAAGCTAGTAAAAGAACGGCCTACCCATGTTATGATAGGATCCAGTAGAACCCGATCCTCTTCTCGTCTCTTGACAACCAACCCAAGTTGTTGTAGGGCTTCGAAGCTGGCCCATTCCTCTCCAATAGCCACGTACTCTTCCTTCATGGCTCTCTCGTCAGCCTCCTTTTCTGGGTAGAAGAGAGGTAAGTACCCTGAGTGCAGCAACTGCAAGAATACGGGCTGGTCGTTGATAAACCATGTTTCCCCCAGGTCTGATCCGTCAGCAATTGCACCTAAGAGTCTTCGTTATAACGCACCATTGCCTCGTATATACACGAGCTTCATACTTCGCCCTCGTATTAACGTATGTGCCAGGTCCAATCCATGAGGGTTTCTAGCAGATGTATCACCAATAAGCGCTCCCATTATCGCTTTCCCTGGATATATTTTCTCAGACATGAAAGCATCACAGTCCCAGATTGGCTCATCGCCTTGCCTCATGGTACCCAAGTTGACAGACGCGAGATCAACTTTAGGAGTAATTGGCCCATTTTCAGAGTCCGCAGAATCTGCTTGTGGTAGAACAACAAAATCGGGTTTGTGAAACTTTGTTCTCGAGGATTAAGTCTCTGTCGCTGGGTTATACGCCTGGGTTGGTGGGGGGAAATATGTCTCGCCTGATGATGGCGGGACAGGATACCTATAGGAGGAATTCGATGCCCCAGGCTTCCACTTTGACTGATCCGTTGATCCGTAAGACGGTGCATAAGGATTTCGATCCTGAATGTACGGTCGGCCAAAGCCGCCATTCGGGTTCTTCCGATGCTGGTGAAGGGCCATTTTGTCGAGGGAGTTCATATATATACACCGAGCTAGGTGTCTCACTTCGTGTCGGCCGAAGTATCCTTCGCCCACAAGGATCAAACTCCGGAGTGTTGTTGTACTTGATGCCTTCTCTTTGGAACGTATCACGACCTAATCTAGTTTGCTATCCTAGCGTCAGCATATCTTATACACTATCAGTACTTGTGGATTACTTACTCTTCTACGAAACTTTCTCCAGGCCTTCTCTTCGTCCTCAGGCCCATAAAGCGACTCTTCACTATCGGAGCTTTCGCTTTCTCCAAACGCCCTTCTTATATCAGGCTGAGTATCCGCTTTCCCCTTCTCAATTTCACTCTCGCTCAGTGACGTCCAAGCTAAAAGAAGTCGATTAACAAGTCTTTCTGGTTCTTGAGACTTGGAGTCTTGAAATCTCACTCTCTCCCGACGACTCGCCCCATCGTGTTCAGAGTCATCCGAATCATCTGAATGTCGATGTCTGTGCCGCACTTCTATCTTTTCCCCGTTTCTAGTTTCTGTAATGTATGGGTCTTCATATGGTGCTCCATGCACGGATATCTCGTTGAGAAATACAAGATTGTATAGAAACGTAGCTGCATCGCCACGTCGGTGAAAATCAGGTCCGAACGTAGCGGTTCCCTGACACTTAGGGCAATTGCTGAATGGACTTCTTCTTTCTCACTTACAGAAAGAAAGGCGTTGTCTTCAGAGTTCTTGTTCTGGCCGTACAGCTCCTCGGTACGTACATGTCCAGGGATCTCAGACTCACGGACAGGACTTGGCAGCCTCTTGCTCGTGCAGACCGGAGGACTTGGTGCTCTTTCTTGAGGCGGGTCTGGAATTGGCTCAGGGTCGTCCTCATTTTGGAACGAAGCTTGACCAGCTAGGATGAGACTCTCAGCTTGGGCCTTGAATCTATTTTCCACCTTCTCTGGTGCTGTTAGATGGCTGAAAAGGTCAGAGCTGTTGTTCAACCCTGCCGAATACATGCTTACCCGTTGGTAGACTTGACCAGAACAGCCGCCGAAAGAATCGTAATCTGCAAAGTCAACGTGACCTTGTGCTTATCGATATCCGACAGCAACCTCGCAGCCTTGAGCCACTTAACCCTCCTCAAGATACTCTCATCGGTCACCATCTTTGAGATTTCTTGCTGCGTTGCCTGGATGTTCTTAACAACCTGTCGAACAGCATCACAAAACTGCGGTTTTGCATATGAATGGCCCCCTCTGATGATGTCACGTAAATGCTCAAGAGTCGCAGTTAAGCCAGACATCTCAATGGCAACTGATTGGATCTCCTTGGGTGCATTTCGGACTGTTTTGTAAAGCTTGAATAAAGTATTTGAGAGTTGGGTGCCAGCTGACGCTATTCCTGCGATGCTGGCTATGAATGACAAAGGATTCATTGTGAGCGATTGGCGTCTACCAACATAGACAGTTGAGATGGGAGAAACGACTTAACGAGGGAACTTGAATTGAGGCTGCCACTGTGGATTTGAAGGCTTTTGAGGGCTAAACTTGGTTTCGATTGCCTTGCGGCTGCCTCTAGAGGCTGTACAACTATGGGTCCCTGTCTTGCATACAGCCATGCATGTAAGACGGTCTGCAGTTAGCCTCGCAATCATGGCTATGCCTCACTCAATTGGGCCCCGCAGTTCCAGATTGAGACAATAGTTTCCACTGAGAAAAGAGAGAACTGCGAGGTAGGCTTTCTTCACAGACGGGACGGAGAATATTGCGATTTACTGCATAGCATCCTGGTCATCGACAGTGTATCCTTCACGCTAATGATATGCTTCAAGTCCAGTGCCTATCTTTGACTTTCTGACTTCGTTCGAGGCTTGCGTATGGAAGGACATATCATCGCTCTGGTCTTTCCAAGCTTTCGAACTGTCCAGATAAGTATCAAGCAGTACTTAACTCCTCCATATCCAACTTTCAGGGAACTTTCGGGCGATAAAGTGAGACAGGGCTTGGTTCGTGTAACGCGCTACATGTATCATGTTCTCACTCTCACAACCAACACATCAAGTGAGAACGGTCCGGGGACCCATCCATGAGGAGAAATGATAGGCCAATATTAGACATCCCTTCGTTTTCGTAACTTCTTTAGCCTTGCGATGTTCTACCTTGCTTGTTCGATCAAATAACACCCATCTCGATGACCGCATGTATGCTTGTGGAACCATAGCTCACCGTCCTTGTTACTTGTCCTTGGATGCCATACCACTGGCCCCATGCTTCTTCCCCCAATTTCTAACCTTGACATCCATATCCCACCGAATAAACACCATAACAATCATGACAACCCAACTCAACAAGGTATTAACCAAGCCCGTCCAAAATCCACCACGTATAGCACCGCCCATAACAGTAGTCATGACAAGTCTAATAATAGTGCTCGTCGCAATGAGTTCTTCTCCTCTCTCTAACCCCGCAATTGCACGACGAGCACATTCATCCGGTGTGAGGATCTGGTCACCCTCCTCAAGCGCTTTGGTAACATCCGTCTTGACTTTGTTCTCATCGTCAAGGGACTTTGTTGGCATTGTAGCTGGGAAGACAGTGTGGATGCGGACGCGAGGCTCATTGGGGTGAGCTCCTGCGTATAAGTTCATCTCCTGTGAAAGAGAGTCTGATAGCGATCTGATAGCAGCTTTGGAGGGTGAGTAAGGCGTGAAACCTGCAAAACTGTACAGCGAAACAAAAGATCCCGTGAAGATGATGTGACGAGCCGTCGGTGTCTTGGCTTCTGTACTCTTCTTCGTGACGCCATCGATGGCAGGTCTCAACCACGCATTAAGTGTAGCATGGGCCATGTACGCACTCGAGAAATAATTACTATCCATCATAGTCTGTAGCTGCTCAACCGGAGTATCGACAAATAAAGTTGGATGCGCACTTCCACTGCAACACCAGACGATATCCGGCGGGTTGTCATCGTTCCAGGCGGTAACTTCTGCAATGACGCGAGAGCATTCTGAAGCTTTCGTGGTATCGGCTGTGAGTGAGAAGAAGCGCTGAGATGGAGATTGAGCAGATGCTTCGACTTGAGTGAGAGCTTCTGCTAAGACGGTTGGGTCACGGGCGACTATAACGACGTGTGCGCCTTTGGAGGAGAGTTGGCGTGCTGCTGCTAGACCGAGACCTCTGGAACCGCCTGTAATTAGGACTGTCTGCAAAACGTTAGTGGGGGCAGCTGCACTGAGGCAATGGCACGACATACTCTGCCCGCAACAGGAAAGTCATTCCGTGACAGACACGAGCCCATTGTCTATCTGGGAGCGGTACTTGAATGCGCCTTGGCTTTGAGAATTATCGCAAATAAAAGGGAGTTCTTCAAACGCGTTGAAGTTGTCAGCATTTAAAGCCGAACAATTAAACAGTGGTCCACAATTCCGAGGCGCTGATTGGTTTGTCTCCCAGGGTTCCCAGTCAACCATCGGTTCGCCATAACCTCAGTCATATCAAGCCAGCACAGAAGGATATGACGATGTCGATGGAATTGGGCAGATCAAAAAGATCAGAAGAATTATAAAGCAAAAGCAAAAAAGCATCGACAACGGCAGGATTCGAACCTACGCGTGCGAACACAATGCCTATGATGTCTCGAAGAGATAGCAGGGCATCGCCTTAACCACTCGGCCACGTTGTCATACTGAAGTGGCTAATATTACGGCTCATATACACCATTCGCCACCTTCGCCCAGAAACATCTCTCGGGGTCATCTTATTCATCGTGGGCCAGCATTATCATGGCCGTCAATCGGTACTAACGAGAGATTAATTGGTAGAATAGCGCAGGTCCGGGTTACTACTTGACTGTTCAATTCCCTGCCAGTGAAGTGTCTCTCGCAACGTCTTTGGCCACTGCGCCTGCAGCCTCAATACCAGCATTCGACAGAGGCAAGATAAACGTTTAGGGAACTTTACTAAAATGGCCTAAGAATTTTTCTAATATCTTCAAATATTTACTAACATTCTAGAGCCTTATTCCTAAATTTAGACGAGTTTAGGATCCCTGAACAGGAGGAAGATCAACCGCCCCAGGCCACTGCCCATCGCTCGACCATCCGACACCAGCAGACCACAGATAACATCCATCATCAGTAGCCTCAACATAAAATCCACCATAATTGTCCTTCTTATTTTGGCACTTGAGCCTCTGTAGAGAAGTCTTGCACTGTTCGGCCAATACAACATCTCCAGCAGGCGTCTTACATCGCTCGGCCGGCAATGTTGTGAACTGTACGCCCAGCGACAGAACCGACTTGTTCCCGATATAGTAGTCGCGGTTTATCTTTTCAGGAATCCCGTTCTTGATGTAGTGAAGGGTCCTCGAACCGTCGCAGAAGTCGCCGATCGCAGCGTCGAGTTGTTCGGGTTGGTAGGGTGATTGATCGTCGAGAGAGGGCGTGGCTTTGCAGAGACACTTTTCTCCGGCGCCGTCGGGGAGTTTGCCGTCCTCGACTACGATTTCCCATTGCGTTGGGCATACTCCCTCCCACTCTGACTCAGTCGGTGTAGCGACAGAGGTGGTGCGGGTAGGCTCCTCGGTGGTAACGGCCTCTTGGCTTGTGCGAGAGATGTAAGATGTTGTGAATGACGAGATAGCAGAGCTAGTAGCTGATTCACTCAGAGAAGTAGTAGGAACCGCGCAAGACTCCCCCTCCTCACCATCGTCCTGTCTCCTCTTCAAGCTCGTGTACGTGAAGTCCCATGTAAATGAGACCTGGTATGTCGCAGTTTTGAGAGGAGCGTAGCGGGACTGCCACTTGGTCACCAAATCCTGCTCAGAGGTGCTCAGTGTTGCAAGTCGGGCTTGAAGAGCAGCCATGTTAATATCCATTCGCGCGATGACGTCGTCGGCGGCCTTTTGCACGATGGGATTGATGGAGTAAGACTCTGTACCGTCAAAGAGGTTGTTCATGTAGTTCTGGTAGGCGGCAGAGAAGCTCCAGACGTTGTTCTTGACAGCATCGTCTTGCTTGCAGTTCTTTGCGTTATTATCGATGTTGACACTTGGCATCAGTTAGCTTTAGTCTATGGATCAATTGAGGGCGAGAGATAGGTCAGGCCAACTTACAATCGGGAGTGAATACGGCGGTTTTGACGGATAACCACAGTCTGGACCTCTTGGTGATTCCAGAGCTCAACACCAATTGATAGCTTCTCGAGGGTCTGAAGAAGGGCCTCCATCCACTTTTCGACGTTCTTCCAAGGTGTGTTTGCCCTGACGACTTTACCGACACTTGCGACGTTGCTGACTTCGTTGGGGAGGTTGCCTGGGGTTGCGATCGTGCCCTGGATAGTGTTAGTGAATGCTCCAACAGTGAATCATTGATTGACGTGAGTAACAGTGAATCACCGTCGCTTGAAGCAGTGAATCATGGACATAAGTTCCAGTGAATCACTGACGCGAGTAGCAGTGAATCACTGATATCAGCAGCAGTGAATCAGAGTCGGATGCTTACCTTGCAAATCGAGTTCGTGTAATCATCCATGCCAATAAAGTCATCCAAATACTGCCCGTAAGCCGGGAATGCACTGTAGACCTCCTCGAGAAGGTTAGGTCCCGCCACAGCAGGGTCGTCATTAGTATAATAGGCCAAGTCACCGCAGTTGATCTTGCCCTGGGTTCCGGTAGTAACGCCCTGCACAGTCGGCACGCCGTTATCGAGGATATGCGTGAAGAAGTCCCGGAGCATGCTCTTCTCGTATACGTGATCCATGGTCTTCTTGTTGGTAATGGTTCTGCCGAAGTCCTTCTTGCCTACGGTATCGAGGGAGCGTGCGCATGTGGTGGCATCTTGAACGCCGATGAACCACTTGAATGTGTTGTAGTAGGTATCACTGGGCTGAGCAGCGGCGCCTCGATCGGCTTTGAAGAGTTCAGGACCGCTGGGGTATTCAGGGAATTGCACGCCGGTCTTCTGCAGGGTGCAGATGCCGCCTCCGATAGAGGTAATTGGCTCCGCAGGTGAGCGCTTGCCCAGGCCGGGGCCAGGAGCAGGCGCGGGCGCGGCGGCCCGCTTGAGGATATCATCGCCATCGTCAATCAGCTCAACATCGCCGTTATCGTCGGCCACATAGATGTTCTTGGGGCAATTGGTGCAAGAGCCGCCGATTTCGGTGGCACTACACTCTTCAGCAGAGGTGGTAGTAGTTTCGGCCTCCGACGATGTTGAGGGCTCGGCGGTGCTCTTGTCCTCAGCAGTACTCTGATCATCGTCATCATCGTCGTCGTCGTCGTCGTTATCCTCGTGGGTCTCAGGCGAGTTGCTTGTGCTGCAGCCGGGTGTGAGACCGGGGATGCAGGGGAAAGAGAACTTAGGCAAATTGGGGAATTTCGGGAAGTTAAAAAGAGTGTTAGGGATAGGAGGGAAGCCGAAAATGACGATCCCGTGGCCGGAGCCGCCGCAGCCGGGGCAACCAACAAGCACGGGGACGACAGTGGGCTCGTCGGAGCCCTCAGAGGTGGTCGTGATCCATGTGTTGGTGGTCCAGTCGTCGTTGGAGACGGTCGTGGGAGAGAAGTCCGCTGGAGGTTCTGTGAGAGTGGAAGTGATACCATCATCGCCGTCGGATTTTGTGGTCGCAGGGACCGGCGCAGAGGTAATACCGGCTCCGGGGGCGGTAGTCTGAGAAGGCGCTGAATCAGTGACGGTAGGGCCTGAGTTGTTGTCGGTCTCTGAATCAGAGATGGTTTGACCGGGCTGATTCACAGAGGTCTCGCTAGGGTTGTCAGTGGGGGAGCCGTTGGTGGTGTTGTCGCCCTCAGACCCATCAGTGTTGGTCTCATCAGGACCGGGAGCAGTTCCAGTAGACGAGCCATCAGCGTTAGGCTCTGTAGTCTGGCCACCCTCGGCAGCAGTGGTCTCGGGTCCAGTGCCATCTGTGCGAGTCTCAGTCTCCTCGGGACCAGAAACGGTTGTCTGTGTCTCGGATCCATCCGCATCGGTAGTACCAGTGTTGGTAGGAGATCCTGAGTCAGTCTCAGAGCCAGACTGGGTTGGGAGGGAGTCAGTATTGGCACCGGTTGGCGCACCGTTTGTCTCGGTGTTTTCGCCATTTGACCCGGTCTCTGTTGCTCCAGGTACAGTTCCTGTTGCGTCGGGCCCAGTCTCCGTTCCGGCTGGAGCAGTCTCAGTGCCGTCCACGTTGGTCTCTGTGTTCACGGGCGCATCAGTGCCAGTCACTGTGTTGGCATCTGTAGGCACAGCACCAGTTTCGGTTTCTTGGCCATTGACACCAGTCTCGGTACCTGTTTGAGAAGCATCGACTGGTACGCTGCCAGTTGCAGTATTCTCGCCGTTGGAAACGGTCTCAGTGTTGATACCAGTCTCGGTACCGACAATTCCAGTCTGTGTGCCCTCGCCATTTGAACCAGTCTCGGTGTTGATGCCAGTTTCCGTGCCAATTGGAGCACTACCAGTCTCAGTACCTTGACCATTGGATCCTGTTTCTGTGGCGCCAGAGCCAGTCTCTGTCTCTTGGCCGTTCGCTCCAGTCTCAGTGTTAGAGCCTGTCTGGGTGGCATCAATGGGAGCACTGCCAGTCAGAGTGGCTTGTCCATCAGTGCCAGTTTGAGTCTGAACACCTGTCTCGGTGTTGAAGGGAACTGAGGCGCTGCCGGTCTCTGTACCCTCGCCATCAGAGCCAGGCTCAGTGTTGACACCGGTCTCAGTGCCAATCACTCCTGTTTCGGTGCCAATGGTGCCAGTCTCGGTACCCGTGGCACCGGTGTTGGTCTCTTGGCCAGCAGGTCCAGTCTGGGTAGCAGTGCCATCTCCAGGACCTTCGGCGCCACTGGAAGTCTCAACGATTATGTGAGTATCGTGAGTCTCATCAGATTGACCAGAAGTGAAAGCTCCCGAGGCACCAGGAGTTGGGGTGCTTTGACCCGGCCAAGTTGAGTCCGAAGACCATCCAGGAAGCCAGTTCGAAGTCGAACCCAATCCAGGAACATCGACGCTTGAGCTTTCGCCCGAAGCGTCGCTCTGGGACTGGGTCAACTCTGGGTTGTCAAACCCTGTGGTAGAGGGGAGATTAACAGTATCGCTATTGCCACCGGCAGGGCCAGTACTGGTAGCCTCATACTGAGGAACAGTCTCGGTGAGATGTGAAGAAGGAGGTGACGGCTTACAGGGCCCAGCTAAAACAGCTGAGCCAGTGCCCAGTAAGAAAAGAAGAGAACGTCTCATAATGAGCAAAGAATGTACGAATGTATATTAACGAATGACAGTATCAGAGATGACCTCTGAGGAAGTCAACACAAACAACAGAGCATCTTCATTGTATATAAGCACTCATCCCATCCCAGTGCTACCCGCAGGATCCTTCCAAAAACACAAATTGGCCAAGGATGCCTTATCCACTAAACATAGCACGGTAACACTGGCACAAGGAAAAGGCCATCCTCCTCTGCTTATGAGGGCATTTCAAGAGACGGCAGTAGCCAATGATTTAATGGGCAAAATGCGGGAATGAGCCAGTAAGAGACCCTGTGCTACGAAATATGACCACATTCGGAAAAGCCGTACGCTTCACGGTTACATGGCTAAGGCTGAGTTCTGGGCTTGGATCCCAGGGTTCATGCCAGGAACCGATCGGTGAGTTCTATGCATATGGTCTAGTGTGACGGGTGAGATTCTCGGCATCAAGGATTCCAAGGGTCTTGTTCGTGGAGCTGACTGTTTTAGCGGCGGATATCGTACGAAAACGATGCTGACGGCATCTGAAACCCCCGGGCCTTAATCACGGACCGCGGGTGTAATCTTGAAATACTCCACATCTTGGGCTTGGGGCCCCCAATTGACTCCTCTGTTAATTTCGTTAATCGCTTATAACCGCGGTATATTATAACGGCTTTCCTTGTTGGACCCTGATGCGCGAGGCAGAGCGGGATGGGCCCAGCCCAGTCGGCAGTGGAGGAGCATCGGACTGACTTGGTGACAGTATTGTAAAGATTTGTTTGAGAATACAAGAGTGGCCTGGAGACCTAGGTATTTCTTATCTAGTACTGTAATAAATGCTGCTCAGTTATGCTTAATGCTCGGACCTAGTAGTCCTATCTCGAAAGAGAACTTTGGCTGTTTTCTCTGATTGACTTGTGTGGAGCTTCATCTCACCATAGCAATTTGACTCACTTTTTGACACTGACCAATTGCGCTCCGCCATGATGACATGCCGCATTGATTTAATTTAGCTCTCTTTTCTTTGTGAAACACTCCTTCCAGAAGCAAATCTAGAAACCTCCCGTCTCTCTGCGCCCGCGCCACCTCTGCCTCGACTATATGCCGCTTTGCCTATACACAAGAGTTTCTTACCTCGCCATCTCATCTCTCCGCCCCCAAGTATACAAACGCTATACATCTTCGTCACGAACAATGGCTGAGGTCGGCAAGGCCGTTTGCATGATTTGTGCTGTTCAACTATGGGAATGGAGTCCTAGTTACACCTCGATAGAACAAGAGTCTGCCGATTTTAACCCGTACAAGTGGAGAGAAGACCATGTCTTTCTTTCGGGCCCTACGTGGCCGTGCGACGAAGTCGGTCCCAAATCACTCAAGATACCCGACGAGAGTGTCATTTTACACAATGGAAGAGCATATAATCGTGGTCAAGTCACCCTCTCAACTGGTCGTGAGGTCAGTTTACAGCTTGAACATCTTCCTGAGCAACATCCAGATCATGATGCAGCGAATGGGCACCGCTGGTATCTCGGCTTCCACTCTGCCTGTATTGATATGGCAAGGCGAGCAATGAATGAACCAAGTGGAAAGGTCAAGTCTATGGGGGATCTGTGGATGACTATCGAGAGACGCTGTGTCAAGACTGCAGACGACGAAAATACCTTGCCGCTATACCTTCCTAACATTCCCAATAATCGATCAGGAGAGTCCATCGAGTTGGGGCTGCAGCGATATTACATCCCCAGAGATGCCATTTGCACCGAAGAGTCGATCCTCGATGACCCTTCTCTTGAATGGGTAAGTTTCTCTTCTACCAGGCTGTGCCTTCTTTCTGACAAGATGACTAGTGGAATTACGACCCTCTCAGCATCCCTCGCTTGACTGAGTCTCTCATGTCAAATCTCGAGCGAGCTGATGCTTCTATAGCTCACGAAAAGTTCACCAACAACTTCAACAATCTCCCTCGTGAGATTGAAGACAGCATTATTGCTCTCCTTCGTGATGGGAGTATGTCTCTCGAGTGCACGAACCTTATCCCGCAGTCTCATTGGAAAGACACCTTGCTTCGTATTCCTTTTCTGTGGGACATAAAAAAGCACCTTGTCCAAGCAAAATATCAAGAAGCTGTATCTGGAGGTTTTGTGTGGAACTGGGAGAAACTGGTTAGGCTGGTTATGGCTAATGCTACTGTCCCTGAGACGAAAGATCAAGTTGATCCTGATGATGAGGACTGTCAGGATCAGATAGAGGATGCATGGAACTATCAGAAGGTCGGGTTGAATATCCCCCAAGGTTTGACGAACAGGAGGCGGATATGGCAGATTGTCACTGATATGTCTCCGAACGACGTTGGCATGGAGCATGTTATGGATGCCATGACTGAAGAAAGCAAATGAGCCAGTAGCCTCGATCCCATTTGAAAGATGCTCTTCTCATTTAATTTTTTTTTTTAATTTTTTTTTTCATGTAACAGGCAGAGAAGAATGAATCGTCGTAATTAATACAGAACTTTATGCTCTACTTGTATTTTCTTCACACTGCGTGGTTTATGCAGTTAGTTGATGGTGGTTCTAGAGATATGAAAAATGGGTGCAGGGTATCCAACTTCAGGCAAAGAGTTGCAGAAACACTGCTGGGCAATATACTACCCATCATCGCTGTCCCAAGCACAACCTCACTACAGCAGGCTCAAGCCTGTTATGTCTTCCGTAGTATAGTGGTCAGTATGCAAGCTTGTCACGCTTGAGACCCGGGTTCAATTCCCGGCGGGAGAGATCCGCCACCTGTGATACACAGGCGATCCATTTTTTGCAGTTTCTACCTCTAGTGCTTTTAGTGCTGTTAGTGCTTTATCCTTTTGTTTCTCTTTAGGGTGCTTTTGCCGAAGGTTTTGTCTAGTGGCATAACTTTAGTTCTATCGATAGTCGCTACTAAAGCTCATATGTGCTAATCTCTGAAAAGTCTGCTGGATCCAACACGGGCTGATTCTTGCCATAGGAATAGATTCCAAACATTGTACCGGCAAAACATCCTCCGTGGGGTGGCATCACTGTCAAAGCACTGGCGTCGACAGTAAACACTTCTGACTCCTTTCCTCCAGCCTTGAGAGAAAGCTCGTATTTGGTCGGGTTTGCACGGATAGAAAACTCAACACTATCGAGGTTGCCTCCAAATTCTGTCTCTGAAGTCTAGTAGCAATGTTAGCTTGTGCTTATGAATATAGTTGTCGACTTACTTTGAACTCTCCAGCCTTTCCAGCAGCCCCTTGGTAGCTGATCTTTGTTTCAATTTTACCATCGTCTCTTTCTGAAGCGACGACGCCTAAGGATGCGTATGAGTGCTGGCTCCACCAAAGAACAACTCCAGCTTCGTAGCCTCGTACTGTAGGCTTAAACTCCATCTTGGCTCTGAAGACCTGGTTATATGAAGTCTGTTTCCTGAGAAGCATGGCTGGAGCCTCAGGGCTGGTCAAATCGTAACAGTTACCATGGAGCCTTAGTACGCCAGGCTTTTCTGTGAGGGTGTAACTTTGCTTGATAGGTGTATCTTGGGTATGTCAGATGGATCCAAAACTTTGTTTGGGGGGCAGTCATACTCTTTTGGTACCATCCCAATTCCAGCTTATCTTGTGAGAGATCGGCATTCCATGTCTGAGGACTCGGCTTCGAAGCTGACTTGATGAGATTTCTCCCTGCAGTCTTCAGTGTGATATTATTACCATCATTGAAGATGGGCCAGTCATCCTTCCACTCAACTTTGACGAGAAATGTCTCTCGCCCTATGAAAGTTAGCATATTCCAATTCCAAAGAGAGGTGACCAAAATACCGAGTTGTGGTTCTAAGAAAGTCCCCTGGTGCGGCACTGGGCGAACACCCAGCAAGACAGACCACCAATCTCCGTTTCCGTCCTCAAAGACATCAACATGTCCCGTTCTCTGAACTTCTTCATCTGGTCCATTGTACCAAAGAGGCTTTCCCTGGCTCTCCCATGGACCCAAAGGGCCATCCTTGCTTCGAAATACCCACTCTTGATGGCCGGCTTCTGTGCCTCCTTCAGCAGTCAAAAGATAATACCAGTCTCCTCGCTTGAAGACATGAGAGCCCTCGGCAATTCCGTGTGGGGATTTTCGGATTACTTTGGGAGCTGTGAGAGTTCTTCCAGTTGAGATGTCGATCTCGGAGATGTGAATGCCAAAATCTTTCTGCTTTGAGTTTGGGTCTCGCCAAGCGAAGCGCATTGTAGTTGAAAGGTATACTTTTCCATCATCATCCCAGAATAGCTGCTCTGGTTAGTATGAGTAATAGTTTGACGGTATTTTTCTTACGTCTTGGTCAAAACCGGGGTTGTCAAAGTACACTGGGTCAGACCATGCATTGTCATCCCAGATATTATCGGTCCAGACATAGAAACCTCGAGGAAAAATACGTTCCTGTACATATTTATCAGAGACCAATTTTGCCTAATATCGATTATGAGATCTTACATCAACAGTTGGACGATAGCGGTGGAAGACACCATTGGCCAAGTACCATCGCTTCTCTTCAGGTCGATATCTCAAAGTACTCGCCCAACTACCCGCACCGGGCTCAACGGTACGCATATCAATCTGACTTCGACGATTGAGTGCATGGCCAATGAGTTTCCAATCAATTAAATTGGTAGACGTGTAAATGGCGCATCCGGGGAAGAACTCAAATGTCGAAGTGCTAAGAAAAAACGTCGTTGGGGTTGAGTCCGTAGCAGGAACTACGCATATGGTAGGATCCGGGTTGAAGCCCCGAATGACTGGGTTTGTAAAGGTGGGATTTGATTCATCGGCCATTATGCTGTCTTGGAAGATGTTAAAGGGAAGATAGCTATCGTCACCGAGGTTCGAGGGGTTAACGGTCAAATAGCTTTATATAAAGTCACAAGTCGGTTAAGCCATACCGAGATGCTAAGCAGATGCGGGCTATGTCCACCAAGCTAGTAATTTTCCATGAATCAGCGTCTGTGAAACTCCCCCCAACCTTGGGATCCGACATTGCGGGGTGATTCTTAAGCCCCCAAACATGCCACTTGTAGGTCTAAAACTCGTTGTTTGTCCAATCATTGAGCGAAACTAGTAGTTTGGCTTACACTATTTGTATTACCCTTCGAACTATTCTGTAGGATGAAACCTACTCGCTCTATTTAGGCTAAAAGTGATCTTTAGTATTGTCGAGTGACTTAGATGCTTCTTCCATAGGGCGCTATTTACCTCTGAGATCTTGAGTATTGATATCAGCCCAGCCATGGTCAGATAACTGTATGTGTTGAGGTTTTCAGCACATATATTCGTGATCGGGCTTTATAAGAAACTCCGTCTTTCAAGAACTTCCATGCGGGAGTGGGAACCTAGCTTGGGCACTGCTGCTGAAACCCAAGAAGGTATTTGTCAAGGTAGACGATAGACGAACCTGTCTATGAGACTTGGCTTTGCCCAAACTGCGCGAGACCATGAGTTTCGAGGCTTGATGAATAACTTGTCGTACAACTGAACTCTAGGTGAGATAACAGTGACCTAACTAAAGAGGTCACTCTGTCCCTTGCAAAACACAACCATTTAGAACCGAACAGCAGACATTGGTTTCTTATCACATGCTGTCTTGGACAGCCCGTATGTTCTTGGCCTTCGAAGTCCACCTTTCATAATTAACTCAACGCTTTCATCTGGAAGGACTCTATTAGTATCTTGAAACACAATGGTGTCAGTCCAACCAAACTTATAGTCATCCATCATTCTATATTTTCTTGGTTCATAATCGTACCATGAAGCACCGAGTTTGACATACTAGGTGATATGTATCATGGACTGTCAAGTCATAAATCCTTTATTTAGTAATGATCTGATAGCTTTTAACTAGAACTGGGAAGAAATTTGACATTCAAGTTAACAAACTCTTCAAGTCTGGTTAGAAGGAAGGGAAACTTAGGAAACCACTCAACCGTACAGTGTTATTCAAGCGACCAAGGGTCCATGTTCATAAATGTGAGCAATCGTATTGTTTTACATCTTTGGCTGGTTTCCAATAAGAACTCAACAATAATCCCCAATCAACCTATCACCGGCGAACCTGAGGAAGAATTTCATAGAAGATTTCGCGCCAACATTTTACTATGTGCAATTACTCTCTTTTAGAACAGCAAGATGGGATGAAGCCTTAAAACGAGTTGTCGAGCCAAAACCTGAGTTTCTCAGCCCCAGTTTGCCAACATGCGGCGTAGTATGACACGTCAACTGTAAAGTAACACTGGTATGGCTTTGGTAAGGATAATTGGATTCTCTGAAGCATAATTGGTTTGGGAATTATCATATGCCTTTCCGATGGGCCGACGAAACAGCGGGTAAATCCGTGTTAGGAAGTCAAGTAGCATGCAGTTTGCCGAAGACAGGGGAGGACCAACATATAAAGTGGTCAAAGATCCTGATATGATTCTTGAAAAAGTCCAAAAAAACAAAATCCCTCTTCTATCTTTCGATATGGCTCAAACGCAAGGGGTCGATTCAGCAGCGATCGTTCCCGACGATGTGGTAAGTTGAGATGACCTGAGTGCGGAGGCATATCTAACTATCACTAGACTGACGATACTGACTCCTCTCTTGGCGATGTATGTGGTGTCGTTAATAGCAGAATCATGGTTATCCGTATACTGAAATTCTCAAGGATCTTCAATCTTCTACAGCAAGCGTCTCAAGTTCGATTCTGAACTACCGTCGCGAAAATGGTAGGACATACCATGCGTACAAAGACGGGAGTAAGTCTTCTTGCAATCAACATTGAATTTCCTAGATGCTAATCACCGAACGAAGAATATGCCTTACCCAATGATGAAGCCGAGAATGAGAGACTTGGTACGGTAGCCAGCTTCATAGAAAGAACCATGAATGCTAATCACCCAAGACCTTCAACATAACCTTTTTCTCCTCACATTCGATGATAAGCTTGGCCTAGCTCCGCCGAATAGCCCTGGCGCCAAAGTTAAGCATGTTCTGGATATTGGGACAGGTACTGGCATCTGGGCTATCGATTATGCGGACGAGCACCCTGAATCTCAGGTAAGTATGCCCTCTCAAGTCAACTGTTTGTAAGCTAACACAATTCTTTAGGTTACTGGGGTTGATCTATCGCCAATTCAACCAGACTTGTATGGCTGAGTATGAGACTGAGTGAGTTATGCTAACGAGTGTAGCGTCCCGCCGAATGTGAACTTTGTTATCGATGACATTGAAGATGAGTGGACTTATAGCCAGCCATTTGACTACATCCATAGTCGTGTCATGACATCCTGCATCGCAGACTGGGGCGACTATCTGGCCAAGTGTTTCAAGTAAGTCTAGGTCAGGACGTTACGGTTCCTCGCTCATAAGTCCAGCAACCTTGCTCCTGGTGGCTATGTCGAAATTCAAGAAGTCGACATAAACATTAAATCCGATGACGGCAGCCTCAGCCCAGATAACATCATGCTCAAGTCTCTAGCCCTGTTGAAAGAAGCATCTGTCATGTTTGGCCGACCATACCTAGATATTTTATCTCTTGAAGATATCATGAAAAACATCGGCTTTGAGGATGTCGTTGTTGAGAGGTTCAAGTGGCCAATCAACTCCTGGCCTCGAGACAAGAAAGCTAAGCTACTTGGAAGTTGGTGCTATACTAATATGGCTTGCGGTCTTGAAGCCTTCACTATGGCACCATTGACTCGTGCTCACGGGTGGGCACCTGAGGAAGTCAATCTCTGGCTGGTTCATCAACGGAAGGCGATGGCTGATAGAAATACCCATGCTTATTGGCCGCTGTAAGTTAACCTAAAGCGTCATGAGGACATATCTGACTAGATGCTAGCTATTCCATCTATGGAAGGAAACCATCAAAGGAGAACTGATCGATATCTTGGCTCTTGCTGATCCTATAGGCTGGCCTCAGGGAGCAAGAAAACTTCTGACATTAAACGAGGGTATCAAAATAACCTAGCCTAAAGGTTTACTAAGATATACTAAACGTACCTAAATCTTTTCATCATTTAGGATAGAGGTACTACGTTTTCTTACCTCCCTTAGGCTAGGTAGACTTATCTACATTAAGTGTATAAGTCGGCTTTGGTTAGTGTTAGCGCTGGGCGGAATTCCGCCTAGTGGGGCTGCAATGGGGATAAAATCAACCAAATGGAGACATTCTCATCCATAACAACATTCACTTACACACATCAATCTCACTAAACCCATACAATGTCCACCAATCAACTTAACAAAGTTGCCGTCTTTGGTGTAAGACACTCATGTTATAAATACTTCATCCACTAACACAGCTAGGCCTCTGGGAATTTTGGTACCCCCATCACTGCCGCTCTCACCAAAGCTGGCTTCAACATTACCATCATCACCCGAAATGAATCCAAGTCCACATTTCCAGACGGTATCCCTGTAATCAGAACAGACTATACTCTAGAGGCCCTCACCCAAGCCCTGTCTGGTCAAGGCGCAGTTGTGTGCGTTGTCGGTCCGGCTGGCATCAGTCTGCAAGCCACCATGGTTGATGCTGCTCTAGCCGCTGGTGTCAAACGCTTCATCGTTGATGACTATGGCTGGGGTCCTGAGTTTAGAAGCTACCCTGAATTTGAAGCAGTGCGGGCCCAACGAACTGTTGGTGTTGATCGCGCAAAAGAACATGCTGCTGCGAACCCAGACTTCACTTGGACCAGTATTGCGACTGGCAATCCCGTTGATTGGGCGCTGAAGCGGTTCCCTACCATGGGATTCGACATCAAGAATCGCACTGCAATTATCTATGATCAAGGCGAAGAGTACTTCACTGGAACTACTCTTGAAGGCATAGGTCAATCGGTGGTTGGGGTGCTTCAACACCCTGAAGAAACAGCGAATCACCACGTCGGAGTGCTCTCCATCAAAACATGTCAAAACGAGCTACTGGAGGCATTCCAGAAGGTAACGGAAAGCCAATGGAATGTCCAGAGACGAACGACTCGTGAGCTCATAGAAGGAGCGCGAAAGAAGCGTGACAATGGCGAAGGTGGTTGGATCCTTGAATTGGCTGTCGCTCAGTTGTATGAGGCAACTGAGGGAGGGAAAGCTCGCTGTATTGTTGCACCGTCATGGGAGGAGTCGGATTCTGTGCTGCTTGGGGTTACTAAGGAAACACCTGAAGGCCTTGTCGCTTCTGTCCTGGCTAGTATTTGATCAATATATTCATGTTGTAAGATTTCAGTCAAGAATATATGTTTTCTGTTGAGAATCATATTTCATCATTGAATATAGATATATCTCTGGGTCACTGTGGCCACCATTTAATACATCTTATAGAAGCAGACAGGCAGATCACTCCAGCTGGCTGCCTGTTTATGCCCCACCCAGATCACCCTAAAGCCCCACATTCCTTTAGAAGAGCTTTAGGGCACAGCCCACCATAATACCTCGCTAACTCTTCCATCATCGTCTTGCGCAGATGCTGGTCACTTTCCCATGAGAATCATTGCAAGATCAATCGATTGCAAGCCCGGAACATCCTTTAGTGAGGTTTGGCCGCGCTCTCCTCTCAAATCACGACCAAATTCCAGACTTTCTATGAGATCAGTAAGAACCTTCCTCCTCTTAAATTACCTTCCTAGAGTACATGCTAGCAAATAACTCAGGGTGTCAAGCTTAACAGAAGACACTTAAATAGCAGACACGACCGGTAACTGAAATCCAACCTGTAAGAGGATGTTACAGGTAGAAGCGAAGTTTGAACAAGATAGGTATCTATTGTTATTTAGCTATAGTAAGCTCGTAGGACGAAATAGCGTGCCATGTACGAAATTGCGTGCCATGTCCTGACAGTTCTAAGTGACTGTCCTCAGCACATTGCTCATAAGCGAAAGGTCGATCTAGGACGATAAGCAGTGACATTGTCTAGCTACATAGGACGAGTGCACAGAATTCGCAATGAATTCTGTCATTCTTATGTCTCAGTACTGGGAAAGAAGAGTGGAAGTGATCAAATGCGTTTTGCTAGTTTTAATAGATACAGACGCGGAACGACGTTTCAACATAGTTGTTACATTGGCCTTTCTACTCAAAGTACAGTACATTAACCCTGATTGTTATCCCTTACAAGAATTTATCATGCCATCGTGATTCTTTTCGTCTATTGATTACTACTTGAACTTGGAAATATCGTGTCTTTAAACTCCGTTGCAATTGAGTGCTAAGCGGAGTAGACCCAGATAGGTGTGCAAGGTTAAAGACGGTTCTTCGTAAGTATTGTTAGCTCTCCAGGCGGCTCATGGATGTTGAGGTGAACTTCAAATAGTTCCATCACGTGCTAGTGAATCTCAAAGATCAATGAAGAGCTTATCTTACAGTAACCAGAAAATCGAGTTGAAGTGGGAGTACGACGCGGGACGGGCCGCCAGGAGGGTTACGGTGGAATCTTGAGTCCACTTTGGGATGGCTTCACAGCCTTATGCAATGACCTGGGCGCCGATACGATACGATCGCTCTCATACCGTAAAGACGAGGCTGAAAGAGCAGCCATCGTAAACGAAACCAATGACGTATATAGATCGCTGCCTAATAAAAAGTGTTAAGACCAACCATTTCTATTACTCACCCAGACAACAAAACAGTCACAAATGATGGTCACGTTACAAAATAAGCCCCCAATGTGAGTGGATTGTGGGGAGAATTACAAGACATACGGTGAAACCATTCAATGAGCATGTGTCTCAGACCGAACGCCTCCCGTTTGATGACGAGCATTAACGACGCATCGAGGCTGACGTTCATTTATTGTTAGTTTATGTACTTGAATTCCTCATAATTTGTATTTTCAAGTCCTGAAAATGCCGTCTTCCGAACTCTCAGTCGATGGCCAAGAAATAGCCCCAGAATTACTACAACACAGCCTAAAGATCGCCCTACCACGCAGCTCAGCCTTACCAACAGAGGCATGGTATAATATGCACCGTAAGCAGTAAATACGACCACATCATCCTTTCATTTTCGAAACCTTACAGGGATTATTGTTCGGACTTTTTCGATACCTCAGTTTTTGATCATTCGTTTTGGCCCCCGCTGAGTTCACAGGTTACGAGTCATAGCGTGAAGGCTTCCATCTCAGCCTGATTTCTGAAACACCAACCGTCTTTTATATTTACCTCTCATCTCCGCCATAACCTCTTCCATTCTAGTCTCTTTTTCTTTGTAGAGATCGTCTGCAGGACCGTCAAGGCATCATGGCGGTCCGCAAAGACAAAGACACGGCGGAAGCACAGTTTGCTCAAATCCTCGACGATGCTAGCAAGCTGTACTCCGACTCCAATGACAAACTCGGCGATTTTCTCAACCCACCTATAAACAACGTCACAGACCTGATCAAACAAGTCGACAAGCAGAATGATCAGTTTACTAAATTCCGCGAGAAGCGGCAGTCGATCTTTAGCGCCATGGCTGCTTGCCTTACTCCCGTTGAAGTCATCGGTGAGATCGTGAGTGGCGCTGCGGCAGACTCGTTTGCGCCTGCGGAGGGAATCTTTGGCGCTGTTGCGTATCTCATTGGGGCTGCGAGGGATGTTTCTTCGGCGTACGATACCATCGTAGAGTTGTTTGAGCATTTGAAGGTGAGTGATATTGATCAACCCCGCTTGAGGCTTTACTGACAATTGTAGGACTTTACATCACGACTGGACGTGTATGTGCAGTACAAAATGGGCACTGCGCTACGCAACAAGGTCGTCACTATTCTCGCCCAACTATTTGAAGTGTTTGTCTTGGCCGCCAAGGAGGTTCGTCGCGGTCGCTTTAAGGCATACTTCCGTACAGTGTTCGGCAAAGGGACGCCCGTGCAGGAAGCCCTCGATAAGCTGAAGGCCCTCAACATTGGTGAAGAGAGACAGGTTCTTGCTGATACCTATGGGGGTGTGAACAAGCTCAATCTCACAACGGAGAATATGCAGAGCAAGCTTGAGGAGATGAACCAGACTATGATGCAGATGAGGTCTGAAGGCCGTGAGCGTACTGTCGCGGCACATCAGGATAAACTCAAGGAGATTCTGGACCCTTCGCCATTTCCTGAAGACTTCTTTGCTATGTTTAACAAGTCACGCGCGGAATCGACTGGAGATTGGATCCTTACGGATGGAGGGTTTAAGGCATGGCTTGATCGGAAGACAAACTTCCTCTGGATTACGGGTGCAGCAGGTATGTTTCACCGGTCTCAATATTTAAACATTTACTAACATTCTCGCAGGAACTGGCAAGTCGTATCTGACCACTAGACTCGTGTCTTGGGGCACAGAGCATATCCCGCGTCTTGCGTACTTCTACTTCAGAGACAACAATCCCGAGACTCGTTCAGTCCTCCAAGCTCTCCGCGATCTCGCATACCAACTAAGCGAGAGCGATCCCTTTTACGCTAAACAGCTTCTCAAGAGTCTTCGCAGCATCGATGAGATCCGCACTATCCCCAGTGCTTATCGAAAACTCTTCGTACAACCGTTCCAGCAAGACGAGCAGCAGAAGGCAATTTACATCTTTCTCGACGGTATCGATGAGGCTGATTCTTCTGAAGTCGAGGAACTACTCCAGCAAATGGGTTCAGATGATGAGTCTGACAAGAGACCGAAGCATGTCACGCTCCAAGTTGCTCTCATTGGAAGGACGTATATGACCGAGGCTGTTACGTATACCCTTGATCCTGGAAACCGGGGAACTCAAGTCATCACAACACTTCACGTCACACCTGATCGTAACGCCGAAGATGTCAAGTTGTACATTGAGAACAGCGTTTGGCACCTTCGTAACCTGAGCCGCACACCTCCAGACTTTCGACAAAAGATCATTGACGCCATGATCAAGCAAGCCGATGGTCTCTTTATTCTCGCAAAGTTCATGCTGGAGGATATTAGTCGTAAGCGACATCCACAGAGTATCCTCACAAGTCTGCAGTCTTATCCCAAGGAGATCAACGGTATTATTGGACAAACACTCAAGAACCTTTCAGAAACGTTATACGAAGACCAAACGAGGGATCTGAATGAGATGCTTCAATGGGTTGCATGCGCAGAAGAAGTTCTATCGCTCGAGCAATTGGAAGCAGTCCTCATCATGCGCTTCGGTGATCCTCCTTTCCATCTCGAAGAAACCCTCCGCGGTCAATACGCGTGTTTCTTCGAACTCGAACGCGAAGACGGTTTAACAACTGATGATCTTATTCGAGAGCATGAGAAACAACAGCGCATTAAGAACGGTGATCTTGGCTCTGGAAGACGTTCAAGTTCAGCAAGTCGTCCAGGATCCGGTCGAAGCGGAAGTCCCAAGAGCCCAACAGTCTTCGGCCGAAGTCCCGACCTGGGTCGAAACTTGTCTCCTCTGCGTCGTACGAGCCCGATTCAGGCTTTGGGACCTGGACGAGGAAGTCCTGGCCGCGGTGTGAGCCCAGCTGCCAATTCTGATCTTTTTGATCCGATGAGCGAGATGGACTTTCGATCGAGCAAGACAAATACGTGGATTACTTTCTTCCACTCTTCCGTCAAGGAGTTCTTCAGCACTCAGAATTCTGCGAAGCTTGGGGCTGGGATTGGCTTCGATCCTCTTATTTCGCGAATTCACATCCTCAGGACTTGTCTGTCAATTTTTACCAACAAAGCTGCGTTTGAGAAATATCGTCTCAGCGCTAGTGGTCGAGAATCTATGAAGCAGTATGCTGCGTGGTACTGGCAGGAGCATTTAGCCGTTCTCGATCCCAAGACGGTACCTGCACCTGAGAAGAAAGAACTTGGAGAGTATGTGCACAAGATGCTCACTGACGAGAACACCATTCTCGACTGGACACTCATGTATGAGAAGAACGATGAGGGTCTTGACGTCCTTACAGACGCCAACATGAAAGGTCTCAAACGATGGATGGGCGATCCCGACGTCCAATCCTCTCTTAGCCCCGAAGCTCGAGAATGGGCCAGCAAAGGTGTCAAAGAATCCCCCGGCATCTTCAAGCCCATCGGCGACCTCTACGCTCGGGCTTGGTTATCCGAAGACTTCAAGAAATACGTCCCCACCCTCTTCTGCTTCAAGATCGTCCAGTCCATCGCATTCATGCAAGAAGGTTACTCCTGGTCCGATTGTAATACCCACTGGACCGAGATCCCCGTCGAGAACCGAATCGTCAAAGCAGCAGAATGGGCAAAGATCCCAGAGAGTGCACACTGGCATCGTCGATTCGGAAGCACATACCTTACGAATGATATGCACAATAAGGCGCTGGGACACTATGACAAGGCTCTTGCTCTTGACAATAACAGTGTTGAGACGCGTGGTCGTATCGCATATTGTCTTTCGCGTGACGGTCGCTTCAAAGAGGCTCTGGAACAAACTCTCAAGTGCGAAGCAATTGAAGAGGAGAGTATCGCCAGTGGCAAACTTGACGAGCAGGCTTTGAAGAGCTGTAAATGGCGTCTGTACAAGGATCACATCCTCATCGCCAATTGCTACGAAGAACTCCACAAAGTCGACCAAGCACTCGAGTACTTCCTCAAGTCGATGAAGAGCGCTAAAGACGTCGGCCTCGATCGCAAAGAATGCAAGGAATATTTCGAGCCTGAACTCGGATACCTCGAGCTCGTGGCCACTGAGAACCGTCATGAAGCCGTCATTCAGTTCCTCAAACAACTCTCAGAACAAGTCACTGACGCAGAACACAAGCGCACAAGACTCGTTGATTTTCTGCTTGAATTCCATAATAAGCCTCTTGTTATAGACTGGATCCCCAAAGCGGCTAGCAAAGTCGGTGAAACAGACTTCATATACGAGTGTCTGCTCTTCACGATTGAGGTCGCAACCGCGACTCGCGACCCCCTCAAGGCGCTGTATCTTCGTCTCGCACTTGGCGCAACATACACGTATAGTCGTGATATAGATGCTGCGCTGGATTTGTTCGAGGGTATAACACAACTTGGATATCGCCCTCGCGGGAACGTCCCTACGCGACAGGCTTATGCTCTTGCATTCCAGAAACTTGCTTCCCTGTACAAAGAACGTATTCTTCATGCTGGATTGAAGACGCCCGAGGCGGACAGCTGGCTTGAAGATCTAGAGAAGATCAAACAGAAGCAGAGTCGACACCAGAACCACGATATGCCCATTGAGATGGTTGGTTCAGACGTCAACATCGCAGCCATCTACATGATCCTCTTCAATCGTCTTCTGGGTCGAAGTTCTTCAACAGACCGCGATCTTCGGCAACTCATTAACGACAGTCTTGACATCCTCTCTGACGATGATGTCCAAAACGACGAATATGCCCTTGATAACCTCCTCGGCCTCTTCATCGCCGCCGACGACATCGAAAACGCTCTGGCCCTCAGCCAATCCATGCGCAAAGTCGATCCCAAGATCTTGACCTCTACTCCAGAAGACTCACCCGTTCTTTCGCGCATCGAGCCCAAACTCCCAGAGATTCAAACAATGCGTCAGAACTGCGCTCAATGTCTAGATCTAATCCCTCCTTCGGATGAGTACTACATCTGTGAGTACTGCATGGAGACGTATGATGCAAAGTGTATGGCTGTTATCAAGGGCGAGGGGAATAAGACGAGCGATCATAGAGATGATTTGATCTGTAGGAGCGATCATCAGTGGTTTACTGTGCCCCCGTTGGGAAGAGTGTTGCATAGGGGAGAGATATTGTTGGTTAATGGGAAGGTGGCGAGTTTCAATGAGTGGAAGGCTGGGTTGGAGCAGAAATGGGGGAGGAAGAAGTAGATGGAATGGATATGAGTACCTAGGTATGAGAAATGAAGCATCAGTGGAGTTGGTCAGCATTTAGATGAAGTGTTACTGCAATGGTTTAGTTATCATACAAAAATACATAAGCTTCTATTCGCAACGAATACGCTCACAAGCCTGTCAGGTTCAAGACCTTTCCCTTCCTTGCTCCCATACAAAATGCTCCATAACAGCTTCCGGCGTCGGTATAGAATCCTTAGTGCGACATGCGTTGCCTTGTTTGATGTAGGCTGTACTGAAGGACTGCCATACTTCATCACCATCTTCATCATAGAATTCCGCGGGTAATGGAATCATTCCTATATTTCCGCTTAAATACAAAGTGATCTCCTTCACGCCCATATCTTCTGCTTCTTCAAGTGCGTCAAAGGAAAGAATATGTATACCAATCTCGAGGGGTCCGAATTTCCATGCTTCATAAGCAGGGGAAGCACCAAGCACAAAGTTTACAAAGCCCATGGCTTCGCATTTGAAATGAAGGATAGCAAGCGCCTCACCCATTGAAGCTGCTATTTTCTCAACGTCGACGCCCGCATCCTCCATCATTTGGCGCGTGATGTACAGGCTACAGAGCCGAACTTGCCAAGTTCTAACACCTGTGCCATTTCGTGGTCGAGGATTCTGAGCTCTGGTTAGATAGGCTATTGGCAAACAGCATGAGTGAGATGAGAGGATCACTGCATCTACCCGTTGACTAAGTGCCACATCCTCCTCATCGGTCTCAGCTCGAAAAGCAAATACGGCTTATGCATAAAGCCACTGATGGAAAGCCTTGTAAGAATGTAGGGATTCACGGAGAGTTCGGTCTGTCATTAGAGGTCGACATCGACGAGGCATTTCCAGTCACCGCGGATGCCAACTCTCAACTCAAAGTCAATTCGTAACATTATATTATATGCGTTAGAATATAAAGGTCAAGTTCGTGGGTGAGCGAAGAGTTGGTGATAGCATGTAATCACGCTGGTCGCCATACCGTACAGATGATGTCCTATGGGCAATAAACATCTGATTTTCAAACGACAGACAGGTCACTTGTATGCAAGCCGCAAGCCTCCCTCTGTAATTATTCATGGCGGTCTCAAAAACAAACAAGATCTGGGCCGTGGTTAGAATAATGCGTGTATCCGTAGCCTCAAGCGTGCACCGAGGTTGAAGTGAACTTGGGCCGTGATATGCCGACTCAGTAACACCCGCCGGGTTGGAGCTCAACAACGGCGTATTTTTAGTTCGGCTCTGAAATGAGCTATAGCTATCCGTTGAGTTAGCGCTCCTCATTGGATTTGCAATTAAAATCGGGAGACATCCGTGGCTGTTTCAACGGATTGCTCCCGGTGCCCAAACGTAGCTATGCGGAGTACTCCATAGCCCGCGTCCAGCAGCCAACCACTGTAGTTACACTTACACTACAGCGACATCGGCGCACGTGTAAATTACAACAGCTCCCGTCTGTGCCAAAAGTGACGAAATACTTCCCGTCCCACGCCAGAAAAAAAGTTCCCATTCCCGTCAACACCAACATCACCTGTAAACCATAACCGGGCAGGACAGCGATCATGGCGTCGACAACTCAAACAGGCGAAAAGAAGAAGCAGCCCAGTCCCTTGCGATCCATCATCGCTGGATCGACTGCCGGCGCCATTGAGATTGGTATGCTCACACGACATGACTCTGAAGACGTAGCTAACCAAGCTGTCATATAGCTATTACCTACCCCGCTGAGTGTACGTTCACCCGCCTGTCGATACGGACAATACTGATTTGGTGTAGTTGCAAAGACAAGGTCGCAGTTGAACAGACGGTTAGCTGAAGGACAGAAGCTCCCTTGGCCGCCATTCGGCAAGCAGTGGTATGCTGGATGCACCACTCTCATCATTGGCAACGCAGCCAAGGCTGGAATCCGTATGCTGATTCCCGAATTTACGTACGTCGCATTGATTAACAAGGGCTAGGATTCGTTGCGTTTGATCAGTACAAGGCGCTTCTAGTCGACGAGAATGGCAATCTTTCTGGACCTCGAACTGTCCTTGCTGGTTTCGGTGCTGGAGTCACAGAGTCATTGCTTGCTGTGACTCCCACCGAGAGTATCAAGACCACTCTGTAAGTCAACTTCCTCCTCCGCATGGCCCAAGCTTACAATCGCAGTATCGACGACCGCAAGTCCGCTAAGCCTCGAATGCGCGGCTTCCTCCACGCCGTCCCCATTATCGCCCGTGAGCGTGGTCTCCGAGGTTTCTTCCAAGGTTTCGTCCCCACGACCGCTCGACAAGCTGCCAACAGCGCAACACGCTTCACCGCCTATAATTTCTTCAAGCAAATGGCCGAGTCATACACAGCACCTGGCGAGAAGCTCGGTGCCGTTGGAACTTTTGCAATTGGTGGTTTGGCCGGTCTGATCACCGTATATGTGACGCAACCGCTTGATACTATCAAGACACGCATGCAGAGTATCGAGGCGAAGAAGACATATGGCAATAGCTTCAAGTGCGCGACGACTATCTTCAAGCAGGAGGGTGTCTTGACGTTCTGGAGCGGTGCGCTGCCAAGATTGGCGAGGTTGGTAGTCTCGGGAGGATTGGTGTTTACTGCATATGAGCAGATCCAAGTGTGGTTTAACAAGATAGATCCGGATGAGAAGTACATCTAGACAGGGCTGAGCGATCTAGAGGGCGTTGAATATGGGCACATGAGCAAATACGGGGAATCGCTTTTGATACAATGTACAAGTACAATACATATACACGTCAGATGCCAGTATATCCTTCTTTGGGATCCTTTCCTTGCATTAAGTCGTTTTCTCGTCCATCAATTACTGGAACCGTATCATTCCCGTTAATCTCTTGCCCAATCTCTCCAACCATGATCTATTCGGCGCCTCGTCAATTTCCCTCACTAGATCCGCAAAATACGTCGGTTGGCTCTTTGGCTCGAGTAATCTACCCTTGAGCTTGAACTGCACAAATATTAGCACCCGGTTTTGTTCGTTATATCGTCGTACGTACTCGATCGTTATATCGGTCTTGGAGAAGAAATTGTAGCGCCCGCGCCTTAAGGAGCTCCTCGCGCTCCATAGAGGGCTTGTAGTTTTGGAATCGCTCGGTTACGGCTTTGCCTAGGACATCTTGGAGTTGGTGATCGGGACGAAGGGCTTGCTTTGGCCAGCGCGCAAAGACGTCGGAATAGATTTTTTGCTGGAAACAAAAAGTCAATACTGAGCCTTTCTTCTTCTAGAGTAGGCAATAACTTACAGATAATGAGCGTGACATTGTGAAGATGTCGTTGCTAGGACTTGACCTCTATACAGCAGAATATCTCGACGTCAACCATCGAGAAATTCCATAAGACAGTGTGCTCGTCACAGTGTTGATCTGTTTTGAAACTGTAATTGAAAAGCATATGATTGGGTCATGCGCAATTTGCCTCAGGCTGCCACGGGACCCTTGAAATGGATTGCCTCATCCATTCTTCAACCTGATGAGGACAAGCCCGTGATCTGATTCAATGTGGAGGTGGATCCAACGCTACCTGACACAGCCCACCTCAAGTTCAAGTCAAGAGTCATACAAAGCATTAAAACAAGTTCTTTTGTAATTAACTTCCACCATGTTCCATACAAGACTCGCACACAAGGACAACCTTTCAGAACTGTCTTTGTTGATGTGCCCCTGAGCTTTGATTAGGGGCTGTGAATGAAAGATGCCGTAAGCCAAAGTCGCATCACAGTGCGCCACGGCGTTTCGGTGGGCGGATACTTCGGCGCATCACCCCTGAAGACATTTCTAGACTATCCCCTGTTATTCTTCACACTGTGATGATACCGAACCCGAATACTGCCTCCGGCCGCATATCGACTAAGGCGCTCACTCCCATCGCCCCAGTCCAGGCAGGCTTTCTCCTCCCATCCCGTCGCTGTCTGTTTCGTAATCGTCAAACTTCAAAGTCAACGCAAGCACACCCAAACCCAAAACTAAACTCTTTCGCCGTCGTTCCTTGAAGATCCTCTTTTCTTTTTTTCCCCTCGCACTGGTTCCGTCTCTCCTTTTTTTTTGTTCCTCTTTCTCTCCAACGTTCTTCCCTTCCTACGACATCACGTATCTTTTCCTCTTGGTAAGCGGATTCGGGAGGCAGCCCGACACCGCCAGACGATTAGCCCATCATGTCAGGACGATACGAACGAGTGAGTCGCGAGTTCAGCAGCGATATTTTGAACATACTGACAGGGTCTCAGATTAACGGTCAAGACGAGGACGACTTTGGCGCCCGAAACAATAACAACAACAACAATCTCTCTCATCCGGTCCCCCACTCGCCACCTCCCTCGTTTCACTCTCGTTCTTCTTCTCCGCAACCAACGCGCCAGGTTGATTCTACTCTCGCCGATGCCTTTGACGATGATGACGATAGCGACGATGAGGTTGATGATCGGAGGCGATTGATGCGACAGAACTCGACACCATCTATGGAGAATGTCAACACGATACCAACACCTGCTCAACCGGCTGCTCCGGCACCAACGCCGTCTGGTTCTAGGTCAACAAGGATTGTAGGAGGTGGTTCTGGATCAGATGGTGTTTTTGCCAATTTGTCTGCGCGCCCGGAGAGAGGGAGCAGTGATCCCGAGAAAGACGAATTACCACCGGTATGTTGCCCAGACAAACAGCCTTTTTATATGTGTCACTAACTTTAATAGTCCTACGAACAAGCCGCGGCCGATGCTGCTCCTCCATACTGGGAGACGACTATTCTCGCTCCCGGAATGGGAGGACCCGACGAGGTTTACATCGACGGCATGCCAGTTGGCTCATTCTTCTCCTTTGTCTGGAACGGCATGATCTCAACATCCTTCCAGCTCGTCGGTTTCCTCCTTACATATCTTCTCCACTCAACCCACGCCGCCAAGAACGGTTCTCGCGCTGGTCTCGGCATAACACTTATTCAATACGGTTTCTACATGAAGGGCGTCTCCGAAGACGAACCCCCAGCGATGAGCGGCCCCGATGGCTACGCCGCACCACCCGACCCCAACTCCCACAACTTCAAACAAGGCGACGTAACAGACGACGATCTCGGTAGCATTAGTGGAGGCGAGTGGCTAGGATACGTGCTCATGGTAGTCGGCTGGTTCCTTCTTATCAAGAGCGTCGCCGAGTTTCTACGAGCACGACGTCACGAGCAACTCGTCCTTCAGAGCCCTGATCGCGGTCTTGGTGTACCGATTATCGCTGAGGGAGAGTCAAACGAGCGGGTAGTATAAATTAGCGGGTTTGAATATGTACAACAATACCATCATATCATGGAAGCGCATCAGTCGAGAGACGTAGGCGTTAACTCTTTTCCTTTGGGCGTTTCTTGGGTGGATGGATGGGAAGGATATTTTGGTTCCTACTACAAGCTTAGTGTTTGGCGCGTCACACGCAGTTTCATACGTCTCTATATACGTCTCTTAACATGATTTTGGTTGTATTTATGTTTTGATACTTGATGGCAATCCAAGAACCGTAGGTTTTTTAAGGATCATCATGAGTGTGCGAAGAATACTCTTCCTTACTGTTCTTGTCGTCCTACATTTGAGTTAGATTATCATAAACCCGATAAGAAAGATCAAAGCCTCTATTCCCGAATAATTTTTCTTCCCCAGTCTACTAACCTGGCAGTTTAAGATCTCGTAAATTAAAGCCCCTGTAAGTGAATGTCAGTGATTTGGTTTGTGGGGTTACCCGTCGCCGATCCCCGTATTACGGTACGGCCCCGCACAAGCTTCGGCAGCTCGGATTACGTCTTTACGATATGATGATAACATTACAACTCACTCCTTCCTCTCCAGAATCAGTAAAACATTACTTAACATCAGTCTTACATCTCATTCTCCCCTGCAACTTTTCACATCATTGATTCTCGCACCGTCATCGTGGCTTTCACCAAGAAATCGCTTCGTTTCCCCTCTCTTCTTTCTAGCCTCTACAGAAACACTTCTCGTCTTACACACAAGAGACTCTTTAGTATCAACATGGCGTGGAGGTGCAGCGGAGACACTAACTCAGCTCTTATTGATAACATGTGGAAGAATGGTCTCATCACCGACCCTCGAGTGAAAGAAGCATTCCTCAAGGTAAACTCCCCGTCCCCCCTCTTAAACTCATGCTGATCATCCAGGTTGACCGAGCACACTACGCTCCAGCAATGCCATATGAAGATTCACCCCAGCCTATCGGCTACTCCGCAACTATATCCGCACCCCACATGCACGCCTCAGCCATCGAGCATGTTCTCAGCTACCTTCTCCCCTCATCAACATCGCCGGCACCTCGGGTCCTCGATATCGGTTCTGGATCTGGGTATCTCACTCACGTTATGGCTGAACTTGTCGGTGAGAAGGGCCTTGTCGTTGGTCTTGAGCACATTCGTCAGCTTAAAGAACTTGGTGAGAAAAACATGTCGAAGAGTGTGGAGGGAAGAAGATTGCTGGAGAGTGGCAAGGTGAGATTTAGGTTTGGTGATGGGAGGAAAGGATGGGTTGAGGAACCGAGAGAGGGAGAGAAGAATGAGGGGACGGGGTGGGATGTTATTCATGTCGGGGCTTCGGCGGTGGAGATTCATCCTGAGTTGCTGGAGCAGTTAAAGGCTCCTGGATGGTAAGTGACACGTTACTCGTGTGAGGGTATCCGTGCTAACGAGCTTTAGTATGTTCATCCCAGTTGATGATGACAAGATGGGGTATAATCAGCATGTTTGGAGAATTGAGAAGGATGGGAATGGAGAGATCACGAAGAAGAAGCTGTTTGGAGTCCGCTATGTGCCGTTGACTGAGGCACCGAAGGCGTAGGGAGGACGTGTTACGATGCCCTTCCTGCACTGTTGAAGCATATTGTCAAAGTTGGCATTTTATAGTATGAACAAGTCAATAATCTATCCTTTGTTTTTATTCCCGTCAAATCATAAATCATGCCCAGCCGTTAACTCCATGATATGCAAGCGAATGTGCCCATTCTTTTCCCTCGTGCCAGCCAGTTCCCTTTCTCTCCCTGTTTCTCATAGAAACCGCAGCCCAAAGATCACGGCTGCGATAGCTGACAGTATACTTGGCGAATACAACCTGGGGCTCTCATTCGCAAGCCCTGGTGCCGCCTTGGACCCTTCACCACCAGATCCATTTTGCGTGCCTGTCGTTCCACCTTGGCCACCAGCTCCTCCACTACCACTCTGGCCACCTCCTTGCCCGTTGGAATTACATCCCCCAGGTGGGCAAATCTTGGCCGTTGAGTTTCCAGCAGGAGTCGCAATAGGAGCCGGCGCAGCTTTACATCCTTCAAAAGGACAAGGACTTCCAGCTTTTCTCTGAACTGCTGTAGGAGTAGGAACAAGCGTCGCCTGTCCACAAAGCGTACAAGGCGTCTGCACCACAGGCGGAATAGTTCCATTCTTCGCACAACCACCATCACAGCCATCGATCTGATATAAACTCAGCACATCCTGTCCTCCACACTTGCCGCTGGTGTCATCGCCAGGGACACAGAGCTCAGTGCAACGAGTCTCATCAACGAGTTCGAAAGATGCAGATGCACTGCCGTTATCGCAGTAGCATGTTCCGCTGCCAATGGCGACGAGGCTTCCTTTGGCGGCACAGGCTTGAAGGCACTGATGAGTTGTGAAAGGAGTGGGGAGGGTTGTTGCTGAGAAGGTTGAGGATTGAGAGATGCAGCCGATGTATTTTGGGGGAGGTTGAGGGAGGGCGACTGCGAGGAGGAGCATGGGGAGGAGGATTAGCAGATGCATCTTTGTAGTTATCATTGTAAGTTTTGTGTGAAGCGAGATCTCAATGTCGGATTACTGAGTTTTTGTAAGTAGTATGATTGATGATGATGTTTAGCCAAGCAATCTGCAGGTCTTATATACTCTTGTTCCATCCCAGCCTCTTCCTTGTCAATTATTTACAGCATTTCCATGATAAGGCTCTTTCAATGGATAACATTCTTTATCCCCGGATATAACAGATCTAGAATCACTAACATATGGGGTTTGGCAATTTGCGTTCCAATCCGCGGCAGACAATGTTGGCGTAGTGGCAGGCACTTAGTAGCAGATATGTCTCAGACATCAACACCATAATTATGAATGCTTACTCGGGGTTGATCAGGTCGGTTTTTCAATCTCAAACTCGTAAACTGAGAGAGCTTTAGGTTAAAGGGAGTGCATTGTTCCTTATTGTCATGCGATAGCTCATTACTCATGAGCTACAATAGAATAAAGGGTTTTCCATGTCGATATACATTTAGGTAACATTCTTCAGAAGACCAGCGCCAGACCCATTACACCGGCACAATTCATAAAATTGTCTTGCAGTCCATCAATGTCTCAAATCATTTTCTCCTAGCCCTAGCAAATACGCATCGTCATCCCTTAAACCTTACCAACCACAACAGCTCATCACCAGCCTCGTCCTCTAATCCTCATTCTTCTTACAATTCGGCGTAACAGTAGGGGCCACATACTCAGTCCCACAACCAACTGGACAATCCTCACCGCAAGGATAACTGGTCGTAACCGTAGTAGGCGACTCAGGACAACCACAAACTGAACTCACCGTCGACAAGGTCAAACACATCAGTCTAATACAATCCGAACAAATAGTCGCTGTCTCAGTAACCGTAGGACATTCAGGCTTCTTGGTAGCAGCTCCATAGGCTGAAGCGTAGGTGTAAGAAGTTGCGCAGCCTCTGGGACATTTCGACTTTGAACAGGGGAACGATGCGCCAGAGATTGGGACCTTGGAGGGACAGTTGCGTTGGGAAGAGATTGTTTCGATGGTGAGACAGGCGGGGACGACACAGGTTGTGCAGAGGGTTGCAGTGGTTGTGACGGTCGGGCAGGGCTTGGAGGATTTCTTTGCGATGGTGGGAGAGCTGAAGGTGTTAGTTGGGTGTGTTTGGGTATGGAAGGGAGGGATTACATTGCGAGAAAAGCTGTAAGGAAGTAGAGAGACCACATGTTGTCAAGATATACGCAGGGGTGAAGTTGTAGTGTTAGCTGAAGAATTTTCAAGAAAGAATGTGTTGCCAGTGATTTTGAGACTGATACAGCAGCAATATACTCAGCTTTTATACTCAACCCTCACACCTCCAGAATACCAACATCGTCAGCCCAGACCGAAATACGAGGTTTTACAAAACCTATCACAATCCCTGCCGACGATCCGATCATTGTAGTCCAAACAGAATCTCACTTTCCAAACGAAGGAATGAGGATGACGGCCGGTGATGTAAGCGAAGCGCGTGGATTGGGTTGGAGGCTGAAAAGATACCGTAGGAGGACCCCTGAAGATCACTGTTGGATAGCCGCATTGACCGTCGGCATTTATGTGAGGGGAAGGAATACGAATGATATGATGCAGCGATTACTAAATTAGGATCATGAGTATTTACTTTGGGTGAGGCTATATTTAGATAGGTTATTGCGATGATGATCATTGTTTTCGAGTATCTCAGTGTTCCCTGAGACGCTTCTGTATATCTGGGATGAGGAGGTTTTGCACACCCTAAGTGAGTTGTTGTCGGTCATGAGAGTGGCTCTGGCAATACGATAGCTGTAAGACTGAATGAGGCCTTCTTTGAAAGACAGTGCGTAGCACAACGTACGCCTTGCAGATAGAATGATGAGACCAAGACAGCACGCAACCAAGTCCTAATGCTTCTAATTGTCATGATCTATCGGAAGCCTTCATAGGAGATGCAAACCAGCCGTTGAGGCAAGTCCTGTAACCTTCTAAAGCCATTTGGTATATGCCAACGTCTAAAATTCTCACTTCTCCTCCTTCTCCCTCTTCCACTCATCAACCACCTTCTGGACAACCTTATCAAGATCCTCATCCTCCAATCCTAACTCCTTCATCGCAAACGCATCTCCCCTCTTCGGCCACTCAGCATCCAGCGCTCCCAGCACAAACACAATCTCTTCCATCGCATGGTGGCTAAACTCCACCGCTAACTTATTAACCTCCCTCTCCAAGAACGCCTTCGAGTCCACAAACTCCTTCTTCCACTCCACGCCTGTAGCTTTCTCCAGCGCTGCTACAACCTCAAGTTGTGTCTTGCAGAAACTTTGAACGTAGAGGAGGCGATTCTTCGTTGTATCGGGACGCTCGAGAACTGCGACTAATGCTTCGGCCACGCGGTGGAGTGTAGATGCTGAAGCTGGGACATCGCCCTTGTCGAGGATGACAGCGGTGTTGGTCTCAAGATCGGTGTGCAGTAGACCATCGCGAATACCATAATCGAAGAAATGTCCACAAACAAGCGACGTCCACGAGAAACCGGGGTATTCCTTCGCAAGCTCGACGGCCTTGCTCCTTACGGTATCCTTATCACGATACAATTTCAACAATTTCTTCGCCTGTTCACTCTGCGCATCACAGCTCCCAAAATCGGCTGGAATGAATCTCTTGACACCAGCTTTCGCAGAAGCTTCAGCAAGACGTAAATGCTGATCAACGACGCCCGTTAAGGGAAAAGAAGCAATAACAGCATCTTGCTCTTTTAGAATTGGGATCAAGCCTTCAATGGAAAGGTCATCGGGGATTGTGACAATATTCACGGCGGATGCGTGCGCGGGGGTAGATTTGGATGATGCGCGTTTGGCGACGGAGACGGAGAAGGAGTTTGATGCGACCAGACCTTCGAGAAGGACTGAGCCTAGATTGCCGTTTGCGCCAACGAGGAGGACTTTGTTGATAGACATGATGCGATGGCAAGTTATTGGAATAGTCGGTGAAGATACTGGAATCAAGCAAAGATACGACACCGCGGGGTAGTTCAGCTATGTAATGCGGGGTACATTTCGCAATTGATCATCTCAGTTATTTAAGCCTCTACTCACAAAAAGCAATCGAGACATCGGGATGACGCTCCGATGTGAGAACCCGGAAAGTCACCCCGAAAGTGCATCTCTCCCATCGCGGAGGCCTTCCGCCGCATCGCTAGCGCGAAACAACCAGCAGATAACATCCCTTGTGACAACATTCCCAATCAGGTAAATACACTAACGAGATATGCCGGACTTCGGTGGTGTTATTCGTATTTGATTGCTCCGTGTCCGAGTGCGACGCCGGGTCTTAGCGCGCGTATCTCCGGCCGCGAGGTCCACAAAAGAGTCCGAGAGACGCGGGGAGCCGATGTGTGTAAGGGTGAAGTGATGATCTATGACGATGAGAATTGAGGCTGAATGTGCTGATTTGGAGGGGGAATCGTATAATTTACGGATAAGAATTTGGACTGAAAGGGAAGCCTCAGTGTCAGCAATACAAATGTGAGTGAATACAGATTTGAGAGTGATGATAAATGTATCTAACATTTATTGTACTACGAATATCGATCCAATGTTTTCCATAATTGTCAAATTGATGCAAATTATAGCATTCTTACTATGTACTTACTCATTTCTAAGAATACATCAGCCAAGATACTTGACTCCTTCGAACCCTATCAAATCCTTGAATACATACACATCTATCCAGTTTTAAACATCACTCCATGTGTCGCCCTGCGGGCCAATGATCCTGATCTTCTCTTCTATTGGAGAGCCCTCGCGTGTAAGTATTCTTAAATCCGCCCCGTGCATCACCCCATTCGTTACAGTCTCGCTTCATCGCAACCGTCTTGTCGCACTGGGGTAACTACCTCACATTGCACTTGCACCTGTGAATCAGTGGCAGAGAAAACAGCGAGATATATGACCAACCCCCTCCTCATTCTATCTCACCTCAAACCTTAACTCACCTTCAACACCAACATCAACATGATCGACAACAAAGAAATCGTTCTCATCACTGGTGCCAACACTGGTATCGGCTTTGAGACTGTCAAAGTTCTCTTCAATTCTTCAAAGCCTTACCATGTTCTCCTCGGAAGTCGTGATCCTGCCAAAGGAGAGAAGGCTGTCGCTGAACTAGAGCGCGAATGTCCTAGCTCCAAGAGCAGTGTGGACGTTGTTCAGATTGACATCACTGATGATGAGGCTATCGAGAAGCTTTTCGAACTTGTGAAGGAAAAGTTTGGGAGGGTTGACATTCTCGTCAACAACGCTGGTAAGTTGCTCAACGTCTAAAACTTACACTTATGCTAAACTTTGCAGGCGCAAATTTTGACGCATTCAACGATGCCACCGATCCTAAGAAAGCTCGTGAGCTCTTCAACAAGTCCTATGATGTCAACGTCTCAAGCACACAAGTTATGACTTCAGCATTCATCCCTCTCCTCCTTGCCTCGCAATCCCCACGCCTCCTCTTCCTGACCTCTGGCCTTGCGACCCTCGAAGGCGCACACAAGTCATACCTAACCAAGCTCGCGGGCAACGTTCCCCAGGGCTGGCCTAAGGAAGGAATCCGTACAGCTGTGGCTTATCGATCATCCAAGACCGCTCTCAACATGATGATGCTATCATGGCACCATCTTCTTAAGGGCGATGGTGTCAAAGTCTGGTCAATCAGTCCTGGGTTTTTGGCAACAAGCCTTGGAGGAAACCCTGAAGTGCTGAAGAAGGCTGGGGCTGGTGATCCAGCGACTGGTGCGGAGCTCATCAAGAATGTTATTGAGGGTAAGGGGGATGAAGATGTTGGAAAGGTTATCGGACAGCCTGAGTGGGTTGGGGAGTCTGGAATCCAGGCATGGTAGTCCTGTTCTGCTGGGATGTCATTACAAAAATGACTCGGTGAGATAGCAAGACCTGGAGTTAGCAATACTCTTAGCAATTCGGCGAATTTTTATGTTGACGCGTAACTTCTTTCAGTGACAGCAATTTGCAAAGCCACTTTGATGATGTATCTATCGTCCGCCATCAAAAGTCCCTACCACAGAACAATCATAGCTTTGGTCTTGGCGATCCGAGCGCCATAAAGAAATGAAATGAAAAAGAAACTTCTGCTCGCTCCCTTGGCAGTCTATGCGTTGAGAGTATACGTCATTGCAACTATCCAGCTCAGCCCTTTGTGTCATTCGCTGGCAGTTTGTGGAGGGATGTTCCATGTAAGCGGAAGTTCAGTGACGGCGCATTGCACAAGACCAGTTTCTAGAGTTGGAGATGGACCCTTGTTGAACATGTGATTAGAATCAGGGTCGAAAGGGAATGTTCTGAGAATAGAATAAAGAGGAAGGAATATGGAGGTGGCTTGGATTACGAAAGATGAGGATGACCTAGAAACAGTGTGTGTGAAGTAGTTGGTACAGTATTTAGCGGTGATGATTGTAGTGCCACAGTGCGAGACTTTTCAACTCCCGGAACCCTTTCAGGCCCGGCATCGCAACCCCTGATCCACAAAGTGACGTCGGCAGTGCCGCGGACTGCGTTGCGTACTCCGGACGCGTCTCCACAGCCTCCGACTTTCTGACTCCAATTCATTGAATACGCCCATCACCATGAAAGTGACAGTATCACAAACCAAACAAAAGCTTACAAAAATAAAACAGCAACAAAAGGACAACACAGTAGGTAGGCAATCACACTAACGTCTCGGCGCATGAAGCATCTAGAACATCTAATATGGACCCTGCCAAGAATTAACAACTAAAAAAAATAGGCGGCCGTTTAATATTTACTTCCCAGGCACGGCACGGCGCAGCACAGCCCCCGATGCTGTGCTGACGTTGGGTTTTCGCCCTCAGCTTAGGTTCCCGTTAATGAATGGTAGGCAGTTAATAAATAGGTAGGGGAGTAAAAATGCAAGGCTGATCCTTTTTACATATGCAAGGATTGTCTGGTCTTGTTTCTTCTTCACTCGCTCTTCTGCCACGTCGCATCACTCTCTGTTGCTATACATTACCCGTTTTACTTATTAGACTCCCGTCTTCCCCTTCGGCCCAACGTAACGCTTAATACCTTAACTCTACTTTACTCGAACCTAATTGATACCCCAGCGTTCCCTTCCTCTTCGCTTTGCTCTTATTTATTCTGCTAAAATTCTGCCGGCACTTTCTTTGTCACGGAATAACGAGGTTGGAGGTGGATTATTTACTTACTTGGCCAACCTCCCGCTCTCGGGCTTCTTCTCACCTCTCGCCCCCACACCCATCATACCTTTTTCAACATACAACATCCAAGAATGGAAGCTCGTTCTCTAACAGCACTAAATAACCTCGCGGGCAATCCGCCTCAATATCCCATCAACCCAGCGCAAGAGAAACAAGACCCTCTAACGCTCTACATCTCAAGAGTACCGGGCACTCGAGGTAAGACAACACCCCTCTCAACCCCCACCGGATCTGACACTAATACCGCCTCTGTACACAGATGTCATTCTATCACCTTTCAAACCACAACTAAAAAACGTTACCGCCGAAGATGTCGCTAGCTGCCTTTACTACGTCCATTTTGAAGCGCCGTCGCTAGAACCTGCTGGTCCACCACGAGATGAGGAGCATCGATCTTCGAGTGATGAGAGCTCGTCAATACGGAATATTAGGAGGAAGCCTTTGCCCGGTGGCGCAAGACCATTGACGCCTCCTGCGACCGATCATCTTCCTGTACCTGGTTATGGAAACGAGAACCAAGATCCGACGAGAAGACGAGGCCTTTCGGTCAATTCGACCTTTGACCCTCGACAAACGTCAGCACGACATGGTTATGAGCAAGAGGAAGAAAGCCCAGTTCTACCACCTCGACCGACGAACGTCCCCAGAATCCAGACCCCGGAACCTGCTGTATCTCGCAAACCACTTGGACCTCGAACGACATCGAATAATCCATCTGTACTAGGCGACCATCCTCTCCCACCTCTTCCACCTCCCAACCAAGGAGGTCCCGATTTCGATCGAATGCGTGCGACGAGCCGCCCTCCTCTACCGAATCGAAACACAGAAAACCGTTCCCCCTCACCTCGAAAGAGCTATGAAGGAAAGCAGCCTTTCACATTAGCTCTAATCCGTCGTGATCCCAGCACAGGAAATCAGTGGAACGTCGGACATATTTCGTCTTTCCAGTCTGAAGCACCACCACCTGATCAGGACGATGCGAACCCACTGTTCGCCTCTGTACCGCCCGTTGCGCAACCGCCAACTTCCGGGAACCCACCCATAAACGTTCAGATCGAGACTCTTGGCTATGGAAAGTTCCGTGGTATGCCTGCGCGACGAAGTTTCGATGCAGGCCCAGGCTCGGATATGACTCAGCCACGAGACGGCGGTGTTGTGCTACAGAGACAGGTTGCAATGGCTTATGCGAAAAGCTGGGCATCGAATTGGCGGGAGAAATTGCAAGATGGTGCCGGCAAGGGACATGGGCGGCAAGGTAGTGTTGGATCAATCGAATCAGCCGAGGCCTCATCCCCTGTTGAACCTGCGATCTCAATGCATCCAGGTCCAGGACTGAGACCTCGGGGGTACATCTTTACCAGTCCCTGGAATGGAAGATGTGAATTCCGTACAGGAGCTGCTGGTCGAAGCTTGCGCTGCTATCACATCTTGCATGATGATAGGCCAAGCAATCCTCTGGCTGAATTCAGCCAGGGGCAAATTCAAGGTGGTGGCGGCGGCATGCCCGTGAGTGAACTTCGATTTAATCTTCCTACAGCAGAACTCTTCAAGTCTGCTGAAGGTCGTGAGGAAGTCAAGACTCAGCTCCAGGGACATTTCAACAAGTTACTTGGCCGCGACGAACGAGGCAACGGTTACGATAACGACGGCATGGTTTCGCCGTTCGACATTAATCTTGGAAAGGAGAGAGCCGGCGGTGGCAACCGAGGAAAGAGAGCCAAGTTGGGCAAACTCATCATCTATCCTGATGGACTTAAGATGCTTGATCTACTGGTATCTGCAAACATGGGCCTTTGGTGGCAAGCTTGGGAGAAGAGTTTTTAAGGAACTCATGACCATCTAAACCATTTTTTAAGATACTTCCATGATCTTAGGAGTTTTTGTTTTTGTTTTTGTAAAGCTGGTGGTTTACATGTTGACTATTTAACGTAGAGGGAGTTGCCGCGAGGATTGAGACGACGTGACGATCATATGGAAACGGCTGAAATACCAAAGCATAGTAATTGGAAGGTTTATGAAGAACCGGATTTAATTACATTAATTTTCTTTATTAATATGCGATCATTATTGGTTCATGATGTCGAGTGATGATGAAGTTCAATTGACGTTGATCACGTGCAAAGTCACGGGTACTGTTCCAGCCAATCAACAGCCTAGAGTTGTAATCCCGCTGAGCAACTTTCGTAGCCGAACACATCCATCACGTCAAATCCTCGCCTCCCGCCCAGCCCGTCCGCCCCAATTGACCCCGGGACGTCAAGTCAATTGACACTCCTTCGAATCTCCCCTCCTCCTCAAGCATCCTCCTCGACACAATGGCCCACGCACTCATCGCGCGACGCCAGCTCGCCTCCGCTGCCACCAGCAGAGCTAGCATCCTCGGCCTGGTCCAACAGCGAAGCTACGCGACACCTCATGGACCTCCTCCCGCCAACTTCCGAACGAGCAAGCCTGTGCAGTGGACCTGGGATAGAGAGAGCACCCTTGATCGTGTGGGAAAGTTTTTCCTCATGACAGAGATGGCGAGAGGAATGTATGTTCTGCTTGAGCAGTTCTTCCGACCACCGTATGTTACAGACAACCTGGGTATTGACGGAAGGGAATTGGACTGACGAGGGATTAGTTATACGATTTACTACCCCTTCGAGAAGGTATACAACGTCGAACGAAGCTATATACGCAAATAACTGACCCAATTAGGGCCCTATTTCTCCTCGATTCCGCGGCGAGCATGCCCTTCGACGATACCCCTCCGGTGAAGAGCGATGCATTGCCTGCAAGCTTTGCGAGGCTGTACGATACCACATATCTCAAGTGGAAGCTAAGTTGCTGACATGAATCGACAGGTCTGCCCCGCCCAGGCCATTACTATCGAGGCTGAGGAGCGAGCTGACGGATCCCGCCGAACAACCAAGTACGATATCGACATGACCAAGTGCATTTACTGCGGATTCTGCCAGGAGTCTTGCCCCGTCGACGCTATCGTTGAGTCGCCCAACGCCGAGTACGCTACCGAGACCCGAGAAGAGCTTCTTTACAACAAGGGTGCGTATTCCACCACCTCCACAATCTGTCCGGGTCGATTTTCCGAGATCATTACTAACAGTTCAACAGAGAAACTTCTCTCCAACGGAGACAAGTGGGAGCCTGAGCTCGCAGCTGCTATCCGCGCCGACTCGCCATACCGATAAACGATACGAAAAGGAAAGGGAGAGAAAGAGCAATACATGGTTTTTATGTTGTTTTGTTTGTTGCCTCGGGTCGTTTGAAACGTCGCTATTGTAGGAACAGGATTTTTTTTTTTTGGTGGAAAGGCGGCATGGGATACGATGAGGCTTCAGACGGAAGGGAGAGATGGGTGTACATAATCTAGATGTCCAAAAATGCCCCTTTGTCACTCAATTGGTTGGTTTGTGTGAAGCTAACGGTGGGAGAAGTAATGGTCAACAGGAAGCAGTGTACAGTTCGGGCATGGTGGTGAGGTCAGTTCCTTGGTGTTGTGATGAACAACGGGAGTTTCAGCACGTCAACATCATAATCATGATTCATTCAACTAGGTATGTACAACGAAACGCTCAATCTAGACTTATTTGGGAGCTGGGTATGCGCACTTCTTAACCTCAGGCTTGGTCTCAGCAGCCTGAAGA